ATTGATTCAGTATTTAATGTATATTCACAATTTCACTATTATAACCATCATTTCCATCTTTTCTTCAGTATGGGAGATATATTAGGGCTACAGTGCGTCTTGAGAAGGGTCTTCCAATGATGGCAGAGTTATTGGCCCATGGCAATGACCGCGTAGTTCGAGCCATGTCTGGCGCTTTGAGAAACCTTGCTATCGACAGCCGGAATTGCGAACTTCTAGGTGAAATAACCCTTTTTCATTCAAGCATTTTTTTTAGGCTTTTGGAAACATAACTTGTTTACTTGACTATGGAAATGCGCGGCTTTATTACAACTTGTTTTGTTAACAGGTTTACATGCAGTGCCTCATCTTGTGGCTAATCTCCCTGGAGGCCAAAGCCAGTCGGGGCGTGTTCTTTCGGAGGAGACTGTGGTGTCTGTACTGAGCACTCTGGCTGAGGTCCTTGGGAACAGGCTAGAAGCAGCCAAAACCCTCCGAGCAGCCCAGGGCATTGATAGGCTTGTGCTCATCAACAAAGACGGGTATACGACTTGTTTAAATAATTCATGGTGTTGCACAATATTAGAAGAGTAGAAACTGTAGACACCCTGAACATCTAAACTTTGATTAATGATGGATCTCTGGACTCCTGTTAGGCTCCTGAGCACAGCAGCATGTTAGCTAGCTCACTGTGTCTCAAAACTAACAGCCACTTTTAATAAAATGATAAAAAACATGAAATAAACAACTTATTAAAATTAAAATTACCTAAAGTAAATATTACTCACTTATTCTGACATGCAGATTACTTCAGTTCAGCTTATTTCTTTTAATAAAATGTATGCCTCAAAATTAGCATTAGACACAAACATCTGTCTAAACACGGTCTCCTCCACTGAATTATTCATTTTTTTTATTTGGTCTTTAACATGGTGTCAGTGACATCCACTTCCTGTTCACTGCCTTATCTTTATGTATTTATTCATTTTAGCACAACTTAGATAAGAGATAAAATTGTACAGGAAGTAAGGACACTAACAGTGAGGTTGTTGGGCGCCTATTGGGTCAAAAACTAAATCTACTGCTGACTGAACCACAACCAAACATTGTCATTGCCAGTGTAAAGATGATTCTTAAACACAACATTATTGTGATTGCCAGAGTTGTAGTAGTATGTTTTGTTTTTTTTTTCATTTTGGACATTTTTATTGTATTGAAAATGTAGAAAAACGTTTGTTCTTACTGTGAGTGGAATTGCATCTCCATTGTTGGAAATGTTCTTTTGGCAATAATATTCCACAGTATGGCATAAAACTCATCTCTTTTAAATGGAGAATGTTTCGGAGTAGTTTTAACTTTCTATTTCCGTGACTTCAACTGTATAATCCAATAAAGCCCTTGGGTCAAAAAATTTAAAAAGTTATAATAAAAAATGTAAATGGACTGTACAGTAATGCTTGTGTTGTTCGTCTGCTACAGAAAGCGTTCAGACCGTGAGGCACGAGGAGCTGGGCAGGTGCTGCAGCTCATCTGGGCCCATAAGGAGCTGCGGCGGCCTCTGGAGAAAGACGGGTGGAAGAAAAATGACTTCATGGTGAATCTGAATCCTGTCGTTAACGGCCCCAGCACCCATGCCAATGGCACCTATGAGGACAGCACCACGCCACTGCTCGACAGAGGTCAGGAGGCAGCGTGACTTTGATAAGATGTACTTTGCTGTGTGATGATCTAGTTTAATTTGATTTGAATACTTTGTCAAACTATTTTGTGCTATTGAATCAATTCATGTGACAGTTGTATCTTTCCGTAGGTGAGAAGAGGGATATGATTCCTCTGAACGATCTTGGCCCTGGTTTGTATTTGTTTATTGGGAAAAACGATAGTGATAAGTATTTTAAATATGGTTGTATTAATGTACCTCTGTTCTGTTTCAGAAGGCTACTCTACACTGGACCAGAGGAAACGCACTCTAGATGACACTGCTGTCACTTTACCAGTATGTATGGCTTGTGTGCTTTCATTCACAATCTGCACTGCCCTCTGCAATCTGCTAACCCCTAATCACCCATTAACAGCTTCTCCGTTTTGACTTGAACACACAATTTCTCGTTCTCACGCCTCTGTCTCTCTCTGGTTTTCTCTCAGCGAGGGGTGTATGGGGCCAGAAAGGGCTCCCTGCCCCTGTTGGACTCCTACGATGGTTAGCCCTCCCCTCCCTCCTAACCCCTCTGCATGTAACAGCATGGTATGTCCAACTCACCTCTCGTCCTGCATGGACTTCAGGGTTTTCAAGCCTGGTCAGCCAATCCTACTCACACTCTTATCTCAGGGCAGTGTTTGATCACATTTTTTAGATTCTAGTCACTCTTCACTTCTAAGCAAATTAGTCATCAGAGTCACCTGCTGAGCAACTGAATCTGATTTGAGTCATCTTCAGCTCCAGTTAGGGGTTTTGTTCACCACTGGGTTAAGGGTTACAAGATATTAGGAGTGCCACTTGGTAGAAAAGGCTTCAAAGGCGGTCTCCTCAGGGCAGTGTTTTGTAGTCTGAGTGCCAAACCTTCTCTTCTCTGTGCTCCTTCACTGGTGGTTTTTGTGAGATTTACAGTGGCTTCCGGATGGTAACCGAAATGTCTTTAAAAACAATGTCCAGATGAATAAATTTTGAAAGTTTCTACTATTTAATTATTAAAGAAATTTGGTCAAATTACGGAAAAAAAATAGACACTGACACACTCTCCAAGTGTCTAATTTATTTTAGAGGTTGCAGCCTGATGATTTGGGGTTTTCCAGAGTTACTTGAGTCACTTTGAAAAACATACTTCTCTAGCAGATTGTAGCTTTGTGAGTCACCACTATTCAGAACCCTGTGTGTGGTGGTACATTAAAATCAAACCTGACGAATCATTTGCATTCATTTAGTTCAGGTTTGGAGCTTAGTCTCATTGTCTCATTCCCTATTGTGTTCTACTGTACATCATCCAGCTTTCATTATTTTCATTATTTAATCACAAAGAAAAAATGTAGGATGGCTGGTTAGGCTAAAGGTTTTCTGTTGTTTCTTAAACTTTAAATCCCCTGTGAAACCTTTTCTGCATTATATTTTTAATATATTGTACAGACATATTGTATTATACGTGCCCGACTGTGATACTGCTATAGTTTTCATTTTTGTATTGTCTGAATGTAGTGAATAACCCCAAACGTAAGTGGTATAAGGTTTTTTTTGTGTGTGTGTGTGTGTGCGCCCCCTTGTGACGTTATAGAGTATTTTGTATGAGCAGAAAATCATCTAAAATTAAGTAGCAATTGTTCAAATCTTTATAGAAACATGGCTTCAGTGTAATCTTAGTCATGTCTGTAGTGTTGGTTGTGATCTAGTTTACACTATACAATACTTATACCACTAAATGAGTCCTTGTGCTTCTTTGTGAATGACCTCCTTGTTCCACTGTAAAACACTCCTACGATGATGTGCTTTTATTCACACTTTGTTTTTTTGTTCCTACAGAAAAACTAATAGTGTGCATCACCCAGACGGGGCCATCCCTGCCCTATCACTGCTACTGAAGAAGATTCCGATGCACAGGCCCCCTTCACCATGGGATTAAACCACCAGGGGGCAACATCCAAAGAGACTGCTTGCAGGCAAAACATGACATGCAGCACATAGTGACACATAGACACCAACTTTTCTACAAGTCTATTGTAGCAAACAGAATATATACAATTTTTAAATTATTATTCTTATGTATTGGCAATCGCCTTTGTTGACAATCATTTAATTTTGGTGTTGTCATTCTTGTTCTTTTTCTCTTGCTATTGTCAACAATTTAGTAAAACTTTGTCATGGTAAAGTTGTTGCTGCCAACACTGCATCCTATTGATAAATTGTTCTTCTATGTAGGTTATATTCTGTATATAGAAAGAAAATGGATGACTGCTTAAGGTTTGACGACTTAATTTAAATTGCCCCTTTGATGGGAGTGTTAGGAGTTTTGGACTGGCTGATATTTTAGCAGGATGTGAGTGACCTGTAGATTAAGAATGTTGTTTAATATAGGCTTTATTTTCCTGTGTAGACTTATTTTCCCCTGCTCGGGTCAGAGACAGGTGTGAAGAAGCCAGGCGTGTGTATATTTGTCATACGATAAACCTGTGATAGTGTGTATGTGTGTCAAATGAATAAGGACCTTAAGCATTATGTTGTTATTATGTGTGCACAGAGCAGACCTGCTTATAGTGCATTATGTCTGTTGAATGCACGCTTTTGTGACAACTTTGTGTCCAATGTTTTGTACAAATCGCCTCTTTTTTTGTTTGTTTGAGACCTTGCTTTTTACCTTTCTCCCACTGAAAAATTATTGTCTGACCTCCAAAGGTTGCCAGAAAAGGCGTAAAAGAAAATAAAAAACACTACTAAAGCAATTGCTACAAGCTAATGTTATATTCATTCAAACATTTAAATGGGGGCTAAGTGTAATATCACAGATCTGCTGCTTTTGGCAAAGTTGCACATAACATGCACATGAATTTTTGATATCCTCAAAGGAAACTCAATAATGTTTTAATTGGGATACTGATAAAATAAGCACATGTTGAACCTAATGTTTTTACAGCTTTGTTTTTCTACTGTTTGCGTATTTTAATGGTTTTAGTTTGCAAAATATTCAGTTTTTTAGCCCTGGTTTTATCATTTACATTTAAGGCAAAAGAGACCAATCATCTTTGTGTTTTTGTTTTTTATAACTCCACACACATTATAGTATATTTGTAACGTTGCCTATCCATGTAAAATTATGATGTACCATTCGTACCTGCCTTGGCTCTTGAAGTTGCTTTTTCAGTATAAAATGTAACTGGTTATACTGTTTTTATAAATAAAGATCTTTTCTTAGATGAAGGTGTGCAGCAGTCATATGTAATGTATAGTAGTAGTAAGTAAGTTGGGGGGTGAAAGATGAGGAGGTTGCCATGTCAAGTAAATTAACACGTCTAATAAAAGAGAACGAGTTTGGTACACCAGAGTAATGACATACTATTTTGACTCGCTAAGGCAAAAGACTGTTGAGTGAGATTAGCACCATGTCATGTATTCACCCTTGAAGTTCAATGCTGTAATTACAGTCTAATCTTTCAAAATGGTTCACTTGGATTCATAATTTCACTGTCGTTTTCAAATTTGTAGACATTACTGAGATTTTAAACAAGTGGTGATAGTTTGTAGTTACTATGCAAATGCAGTGATTGGGTACCGGTCAGGTGAGGGCTTGGAAATATTTGGTTGTGCCTCGCATGTAACGAAATGTTCCCAGTAGTGAGTAAAATGCAGCTGTTGGATCACGCGGTCTTTGGATGTGTAAAAGTTTGACTGTAAATCTAATTTAAGCCCCTGACTGTCTCTTTAATGAAAGATTGATATTTGTGTAGACTGAACAGTTTACCATGTAACATTTCTGGATCTCTGGACATCTACATTGAAATGTTTAATCCATAGTATGGCATTAAACATCTATCTACATTTTATTTTAAATTTCAAATGTCTTTTTGCTTAAAGCATACCTTGATAAACATACATTATACTGTGACTCCACAGATCTGCCCTGTAACTTGACCTAGTGGCATCCATCTTATCTTCTTTAAGAAAAAGTTTAATGCCATACAGTCGAACACACCAAGAAAGGTGATGTAGTGCAGCTTTTAACTGGCTTATCTTGACATATATAAAAACTACAGTAGTAGCGTACTCAGCTGACTCTAATAATAATACTAAAAATAATAGCTACTTGATATAACCTATTCCTATCCTTTTTCTAGGCCTATATTTAAAAAACAACTATTCAAAGCCCAAGTCCAGTCAATTACCTTAAAACTAAGTATCTAAAATATGGGCTCATTACAGATAGCCTGTTAACCCCACACTAAATTCTTGTGTTTACTAGGTTTCTCATTCAATCCCATATGGCTTACTATTTGATTGAGTAATGCTTGTCGGTACATATGACTTGTTAACTTGAAACCACCAAACACTGCAGACTCCCCCTCCCTCCCTGTGTGGTGTCAGAGCTATTTCAGGCTTCCATGCAGTTATTCATTTCCTCTAAATCTCCCTTAAGCACAAATAGAAGCAGGACACTTTGAACTCCGGAGCTGGGATCAGGACTCTGCCACACGGATACCACACAAGGAATATTTGTGTCATACCGCTATGTCTAAGGAAGTAAGGAAGAGTCCAGTGTCCGACTGTTTGTGTAGAAGAGCAGTGTAAGCGGATACCGGCTTGTGTTGATGGAGTCAGTTGAAGTCCCGGGTCAGTCCTCGTCTAACTCTGATGATGAGTTGGACAGGACCCCTGCTCCAGACTCGTCCCGCCACACCACTCACACAGGGAGGCAGAGTGCACTGTGTGGTATGGGCTACGGCTTTGGGGTGGCCTGGAGACACTTGAGGCCCTTTATCCCTTTCTTCTTGATCAGCTTCATGGTAGTGGCCCTGGTTTTCTTGATGCAGCATATCATCTATGGAGGGCCCTTTAAAGACCCCCTTTTCTTTGTCAAGTTTAATGAACGTTGGCCAAGGCCCAGCCTAAACACACAGGAGGGCCAGTGGTCCACAAAACTCTTCATTCCTGTACCCTCCTTGAACTCACCAACAGAAAATGGGACAATGTGAGGACATTGGGGTTCAGAATTGTCTTGTAACATGTATTTTATTTTATTTATGCTTGATAACTTAAAAAAAATGTATGAATATGTGTTTTGTTTTTCATCACATTTGATTGTCTCAAACTAATCTTTGGTTTAGAGGTCTGTTAAATTAAATTTGAAAGGCTAACCAAAGCACTTTCAATCTTGAAAATAATGTTAGTAATTTATTGTCAGTGTTTTTTCCTCTTTTTAATCACACTGATGCCCATGGATAAACTACTGCATGTTTTATTGTATTATTATTTAATATGAAAGCAAAACCATTTGATTTGCCCCACTGAATGAACTATTTCAGTCAGCAGTCTATGGCATGAATCTATGGTTTCTGAATGTGTGGTTGGCTGCTCTTTGTTACACTGACCCCCTCTCGCGGCCAATAAAGTACAGTTGAGTTCGCTTTTGGAAGACCACGCTGATCACTGACCTTTATGTTTGGCCTCAAACCATTCCAATATCATTTTAAATATCACGATTTAATCCTCTTTTGCACATTTAAATTGCAATTTGATAAAAGGAACCAGGCCATTTCAAACTTTGTGAAGTCAATGGTGAGTCTACCCGCCTTTTAATTTCAGGCAATGCTTTGATAGTACAAGTCAATTTTAACTTGTCAGAATCTTTACTCCATGTTCTCTCCCTGTGTACAGGACATATTAATTCATAGTCGCTGTGTAATGTCATAATTCACAGCATGTATTTAGAATCAGTGTTAGCTTCTGACGCTAATTGTGCGTGTGTATGCTAACAGAGCGCGCACGTGTGCGCCTCTGATGCGCTGCTCTCAGGAGCACCCCCTCAAAGGGTTTGAGCCCTTTGTCTTCTGCCCCAGTAGATTAATCCAACACCATTGGTTGGTCCCAGTTTTACACAAGAAATGTCCCACACGTCCGTATTTCTGACAAATTTGATACCTGCCAACAGTAAAGAGAAGCATAAATTGGCATTTGTTTTGGTAAAATATAGAAAACTATGCTAAAAATGACCAAAACACAAAGAAAATGTGACTGTGCTGATTCACATGGGCCAAGTGCACAACAAATTTCCTTAATTACGCACTACTTTCACAATTTTATTATTATCAACCACTCCAAACCGGGAGTGTCCCAGTTTTTGATTTTGAAAATCTCATCACCCTAGGCAAGAGCCAGTGTTTCCTATTTATAACATTGTACTTTGCCATAATATACCTAAAAGGTAAATTCACCAATGTTGAAGCTGATCATTCCTGTTAGTGACTGGGCCCAAGAACCCCCCCATCTGTACTAAATATTATTGACCTATAGAATATTGTGATGTTATCTGAAACCCAGCAATACAGCATATTATAATCAACAGTTTTTCTGTTCTATCTAGTTAGTACTTGCATAGAAAAATGTGGTGTTACCAAAAACCGGGCTTTGAGACCCTGCTCCTCGCTCAGCTGCAGAAACAACAGCAGTCCAGTCAGTTCTGTGACACTGTGCTCAAAGCTGATGGTAAAAGTACTTTGTCATGAGTTCATTGTGACTAATACAGCATTATTACCAGCATCACTGTTATGTTTTTAGGAGTGTCGGTGCCCGCTCACAGCTGTGTGCTCTCGGCTATCAGCTCTCAGTTCTCTACTGCTCTCTCTCAGACACCTGCCCTGGGCCAGAAAAGACTCCTGGAGTTTGGGCCTCTGGGAGCAAGCACTCTGCTGCACATGGTCCGGCTGCTGTACTCGGGGGAGATGGTCGGAGAGGGTGAGAGAGAGAGGCAAGAGGCTGTTTCTGCTGCATCCAAACTTGGTATTCATGGGCTTGTGGAAATCTCACACATTGATGGTGAAAACAGAAAAATGCGGGATGAGCGTTTGTTCACAGAGGTGGGAGTGCAGACTGACTCTCGGATATTGGAGGAAAATCAGGTGAAGCTTGGAGGTTGGAAGAGAGAAGTGAGGGATGGTGCAACCTTCCTCTGGAGAGAGAGACTGCCCACACGAGGCACTGAAATTTGGACACAGACTGAGGACCTGCAAATCAGTGGTTCATCTTGTTCACAACTGCCTGTCACATATGAAACCATTGACTTAAATGCACTGCAGACTCTGAGTCGCACAGATCCTCTTCAACTCCCTTATGTCCCCATGTCTGTGGCCTATCCAAATGAAGACAGTCATGGCTATGGACCATCCTCTGTGTCTGCTGCCACACCAACTCTTCCTGTGCACTACTCTTCAGTTCATAATAATGTTTTTTCTGTCCCAAACCAAGCTACACCCCATGCTGCAGAGACTTCACACTGGGGCCAGGACATGGGCAGAACTTCGGAGGTGGAAGAGTGGCCTGAAGAAGAATTTGAACAGTTTGAAGGAAACATACCAGGATTCATCAACTACTTCCTGAAGCCTGACCATGAAGAGGACTCTAGTAAGAGACGTGGGAGGAGAAGGCAGGGAGCAGGGGTGGGAGGGGTGAGACAATCTGGGATGAGAGGAAGACCAAGAGGGCGAGGTAGATTGACCCAAACTGTGGATGTCCAGGATGTAGGCGTGAGTAAACTTTCAAAGATGTACCTTGAGCGGTGGGGTGTGTACTTGAACAGAACGGGACAGGGGGGCGGGGTGGTTGGGAGAAAGTTATATATGAAATCACGAGAGTTTGTGAGGTCTGGGCGAAGTACGCGAAGGCGAAAAGGGCGTGGCATTGAGTGGGACCTGGACCAGAGTGCCACCATTCTCAAGTCAGAGAAGCGAAAAAGCGGTAGACCAAGGAAAGCAGTCATTACACCAGTACAGGTGAGCTCTTTACTATCAACACTTAAAACACTTTAGTTTTTAACAAATGTGTCCCATCGATCATATGATTTACATTATGTCTCCACTATCTTATTTAATGCATACTTGTTTTTTCTTTACAATAAATATAACTGTATTGAAGAAACTCAATGTAAGGTTTTGATTTTAAATTTGATAAACATGACCTGTGATTCAAGGTAGACAAAATTTGTTCAGATTTGGTGTTTTGGTTCTCAAGACGATTATCCAATCAGAAAGCAAGTTATGCCTCACAGAAGTCGCTCTCATGTGGATTGCCAGTTTCAATGCTAACATCCAGTTGGTTTAATAAAAGGACTCTGATGTGAATCCTCATGACCCTGAAATTCAAGCACCTGTATAAGTGCTAGTGCAGCCTCTGCTACTGCAGAATGTGCTGTCCATATACTATGAATGAGAAAAGGTTCAGTTGTGCTTGTAATATGTTTTTTAAAACTGTAAGAGCGCAGGCTACATACTGTTCTTTAAACGGACATTATGGACAATGATAACTTGTTTGGTTTGTGCTGTTTTAGGCACCGGTCTCTCCTCCTCAAAGGGTTCAGAGGGACACTAAACAGCCAACAGTTCGAAGTTCAGAGGAGCAGCCTGAGCAGATCGACCAGCTGCTGGAGGAGGTGATGATGGGGTTAGAAATTTTGCCAAATAATAACACAAAATCCCAAACATTTTCAAGCACCCGTCGCCATGGTACCCCAGGCACTATGAAGACAGAGAGGGGACAGTGTGGCTCCACAGCAGTGGTTACCGTGGGGTTCGGAGGCAAAGACCCACCAACCTCTGAGGTGCCTGTCCTCCAGCAGCAGAATGAGGGGGAGCTCACGGACATCCTGGACCAGTTCCTTCAGTCCTTTGAGCGTCTAGAATCGGCTGCTGCACAGAGCTCCTCAGAGTCCACTGAGCTTCACATCAATGTAAACAGATACAGAAAACACAACCAGCTCTCAGTGCTCAAACCACAGCACCCAGCCCTGTCCACACAGACACCCACCCGGCCCAGCACTTCCACACAGTCTGAAACCAGTGGCACTGACAGCCCAATGGGAACAGCACAGACTTCTGCTCAGCAACGAAAAAACTTAGGAAAATCTAGCCCTGCCAAGAAACGACCAGTGCGGAGAAAGACGTGCTATCTGTTGTCTCTGGAGAAGCCCAGGACCAAGTCTAAGAAGAGTGAGGCTTTAAACAGAGAGGAGGTGAAGCAGCGGGTCACCAGGCAGTTGCAGCAGAGGCCTGTGGTCAAACTGGAGCGCAGAAAGACGCTGCCAGACAACATCAAGGTCCAAGAGCTCAGTCAGGTCTGTCAGTCCTCTAAAAAATATGATCATTCTATTAACAAACAGTACATGATCTGTTAAGCTGTTAGTTCAATAAGTTTGTATTACAGAGTCCTGGACCAAGAGCCAAGAAATGCACATCCCCAATGTGGGGCACCAAGACGTACCCCATCAGGAGCAGGTTTAAGGAAGCACAAATTATGGTAAGACATATGATTATTTAAATATTTTAATATTGGTCTAAAAGGTAATCTATCATGTTAAACTGACATAATAAATATAGTATGTATATACGTGCATTAGTAAAGAGTTTTGTTTGCATTTGTGTCTCAGGATGCCATGCCATTCCTTGAAGAGCCTGTTTCAAACTGCAGAATTAAAGCCACAAAACATGGATTTCTTACGCTTTCATCTCCTCCGGGCGTTTCTTTGTCTACTGTCGAAGAACAAATGGAAAGCAATGAAGACGAGGCTGGATCAGACACTAGAGAGTCCGAGCACAGAGGGAGGAAGAGGGCTTCAGACTCTGATGAGGAGATGAGCAATGCTGCTGAAGTAAAAAGAATTTGTTTTGATTCAGACGCTGAAGTAATTGATGTAGAGACAATCTCACAGAGCGATAGAGTACAGATAAATAATACCAGAGAGGAAAGGTCAACTGATGCAGAAAGCAGTGATATTATTGATGTGGACAATTTGGACAGGGATTTCAGTGAGACTGAACTCAAAAGAGAAACATTGGTGCACACAGAGGTGAACTGTTCTCTCAGAGCAGACATCACTGCAGGAGAGCCTGAAGACTTGGATAGTGACATTGATGTGATTGGCGGCTCAAGCCCCGCCCCGTCTCCAGTGCTCATCAGTTGGACAGACTCCTCAGAGGCGGAAGAGGACACGGACACAGATGCTCTGGACCAACAGACGGTGCTGTCTAAAGGGCGACTGGTGCACTGCTAAACAGAGTCTTAAGAAAAATCACATGTACATATTGTTTTTCTCTTTTATTGTTGTTCTAGGCTGTTGTGATTTCAAACCTTTGATTTCCTTTAACTGTTAAAATTGATTGAAATGGCTAATCATTAATCACATAGATTTATTAGTTTACTATCTTTTATATATGGTCAATCTAGCAAAATGTTTTGTTGTTGGCACAATATTGTCCAGAACTCAAGAATTCAACAATAAATTTCCTTTTCATTATTAAATGATTTTAGGGATCATTTGTGGCCACCTTCATGTTTAACCATACTTTAAACTTTATGTTTGTCTTTGTGTTATGTAGTATAATTCTAAATTTCTGAACATGTATTGTAACATAAACTACTCTAATATTACGGGTTTCGACTAGACCCTAATTCAGACATTTTACTGTTGGTGTCCTCCATATACCATATATGGATTCAGATTTCCTGTCAAACAACAGTTTATTTAGTTCATATTGTAGTACATCATAAACTTTTCAAACAAAAATCCACTCTCACACCTTTTCAGATACATCATATACAAACTTAACAGAGCAAAGAAAAACGTGAAGTGAAAATTATTTTTTATTAGTTCTCAACCTGTGGATCAACTTTCTACACACTACACACAACCCTGTGCCACATCTGTGCTGCACTTACTGGGGAGAACTTTAGGGGACGCCATTTGAGGTCTTTTGGATGTTTTAAGTCATTAAGCACAGCCTAGATGCAGTTAAGTGTTGAACATGTAGGGACTTCCCTCCAAATAAAGGACTCTGCTGTGTGTATATGAATATGAGCGTGTGTTTCTTATTCCCAGTGCAATATTGTCTGTTTTGGCTGCAAAGTTGAAAGTTCAAAGGTCAAGGGGTCGTGGCTCAAGTCAAGGTTAAAGAAACAAGTAGAAAGAAGTGCTGGCAAGGAGGCATTAAAACGGTTAGGTCTTTAAATTGTGCTGCTCGTCCTCAGTTTTTTGGTACTTGTTTACACTTAGTGCTGGATGCGTCTAATGGACTGGATTTGGGGGGTCTGGCTGTGGGACCCCCAGTTCCTCCAGTGCTGGTAGTCTCCACTGTGTCTCTCGCACTCCATGATGTACTGCTGCCCCCTGTAGCCTGGATATTGGTAGCACACAAAGCTGCAAGTGCAAATTAATGAAATAGTCAGTGGGGGGCTATTTTAAGGACAGGCAAAAGGCAAGAGTGAGAGATTGGGGATTTGGAACATGTTCAGGGATTGTGTTTGGTATGTTCCGGCATAGACTTCATACTGGGGAGGGTTGTGGTGCATTCGAGAGCTCAGGTCGTCTGTGTGGTGGGTAATAAAAAAAGTGACTTAGAGAGAGGCCTCACTACAAAATGCCTTTTATATGTAATGTCTACAGCTAGTGCTAATTTAACTTAAACTTTGCAAAAGACTGAATCTGAATAATCTGCAAGTGATTAAACAATTAAATAGAAATGTTTGTGTTTATGCATTTATTGGTGAAGCCTAATATTACTACATAGTACATTGAGAGGGATTTAAATAACCAATGCTTTAAAACGCCGGTTCACTCAAATGCACTATGTATGTTTTTAATTTTGAAGGGTCCTCCACCTTATCTCTTTGAAATATTCCACACTATAGCACCTTGCTCTCAGTGTGAATGTATGTTTTCAAGTTATTTTTGTGCATAAAATAATATAAATATTTTTACAAGATATATATTCAATACCATACTATGGAACATGCCAGGCAAAGCATAACATCTCCATGGTAGCAGCCACTAGAAATGTGATGTAGTGTATAGTGCTCAAAAGAGATCCTCACTACTATCGGGAAAGGCCTGCTTGGATTTTTAAGATTAGACTAATATAGAAGTTGAATGTGAATGCCTGTGCTTGTTTGCAGGGTTTGAAGGGGACACTTACGCGCCACACTGCACGTGCATGGAGCCGACCTCGGGCCACATCCAGCCCATGGCCTGCAGAGATGGGTAATCGTCACAGATCTCAACATTACGCCCCAGGAAGTTTTCCTTCTCGAAAATCATCATGCGGCTGCTCTGGTGGGACTGCAAAAGTACAAAAACAAGGTAAATAGGAGCTTAGCAACGAAGCCCGTTATGTCTAGTAGGTTCTTGTGTAGGGTTTACAAATACTTAAGACATTTTTGCTTTCATATTCATAGCAAACATAATATCTCTATCTCAAGAAACCATATAACAGAGATTTTCTCCAGTGATTCTCACAAAGTCTAAACTGAAAATGTGTGACTCAAAATTTTGAAACCATTTTGATATGAGCTACTTTCTCAAGCCCAGCTTTATCTTTGTCAGTGTTATAATAAGTCTAATAAGTTTTTATTTAGTGTTTAAACTTATATTTAGATACCATTTTCAAAACTTGTACTTGGTGTGAAAAAGGGCAGTCAAGTATAATGTTAATATTGAACATAGTATTTCGTCCTTTGTTTTTGCGTACATACAGCACAGTAGATGGGGCGCAGGGACATGAGGCGCTCCACGTGGTACGAGATGTTTCCACTGTAGGAGTCCCAGTGTGGGTACTCTCCTCTCTCCAGGATGAACTGCTGGCCCTGGAAGTCATGGTGCTCATAACCCACCCAGCTGGAAGACAATAGAGGTAAAGATTAATCAGATAAAAACAGATTATTATCATAGGAATTAAATCATAACAATATTGGATTGTTATGGTTTACGGTGCTATGGTGCTATGTCTGATATTACGTGCGATATTCAGTTTTCTGTCTGATCACTGCTAACCATCTTGTTTTTCAATGTCTCATGGTGCACTTTAAGATGTTCATTGTCTTTACATTTAATTTAAAATTAGGATTTACTCGCTACAGTCTCGTCGGTTAACCTGATCTTATCATCTGCATCCTCTCTTCACATTCCAATAAATATAATTTCTCAAGACCACTTGAGTCCTCCACTGTGTTTTTAAACTCCATCCACTCTCACTAGAATCATTTGGGTGATTTCATTTCTGGAAATGCTGATTCTGTTAACTTGAAAACTACCACTGTCTTACCTCACAAGATTAAAAAGAGCATTTTGATGTAGACAGACTCCAGGTATGTTTTTGAGGAGGTAACAATATTATAACATTGCTTAAAGCTCACAAGAGTGAATTTTGCGTAATATAGGGCCTTTAATATCCTCCTTCCTCTGTGCATATCCAAACCATTCCTTGTCCATTCTTAGGGTTTAAAACACTTAAATTGTTTGTTTTTTTTTGATAATTATTTTAAATCTCTTTCACAGTTGCCAGCCAACTTACGCTCCGCTCTCGACCCTGACGGAGCGGATGTTGTCCATGCCACACTCTTGGATGTTGCAGCACTCGGAGGTAAACTCGAGGCATTTTCCCTGGAAGTGCTCCTGCTCAAACACAGTCACCTGCAAGAACAGAGGAGACCTAAACATCATCGTACCAACCAGCCAAGAGGTATGTAATCTTAACTGTTTTAACATTATGCAAGAGAAAATTATAAATCATGAATATTTCAGTCATTATTATCACGATTATTTATGTACTGTCAAAAGTTGCCCTGTTACATAGACTAGACTTATATTTGTATTGTTTTGAATTCATGTCTTAAAAGCCGGTGTATATTTGTACAGAATGTATAACATTACAATGTGGGACAGAATGAATAATGACCATCTCATTCACAATAGAACGTAATATATAGTTTGTTTGTAATTGATTTAAACAATAATTGTAATCAAACTTATAATGCAAATAATTCAGCAGCCCTAACTGACTGTCAAGCTGTTATGTATTTTTACCTTGAAGAATGGAGCCATGCCCATTCCAGAGTTGACCAGTGGCTGCATCATTGGGGATCTTGTAGTTCGGTACATCTTTGCTCCTGAACAGTGGCATCAAATATAAGATGTGACAATTTTTAATTATATATTTGTTTGCCCATTACTTTTGTGCTGCCTTATATTTATAAAGTATACGTTGTTGACCAATGGCTCAGTTTGTAATGTGCACTTTTAGATAAAACCTTTACAATGCAATAGAAATATTATTGTTAAAATGTAGATAATAGCAATAAATTCAATATAGTTCAATCAAATAAAATCAAATAGGAATTGTTATTAATAAGCGTGTTTGCTCAACATAATGCAGTGTGCAATTGAATTATTAGCTTTCATGTGTTTCAGGTATAGGTGAGAAAGTGCTTTTGTGTTTTTAAGTGCACAGTGCGGCCCTGAGCTGTGTGCAAAGCAGAGATGGATCCTTACCTATATTTGGCACTTATTGGAAGAGTTGTGGAGTGGTACGCGCCTACCGCCAGCCTCGCGTAGAGCTTTGAGAGATCCTGGCGCTACAGTTTTATACCTGCGGTCGAGGATGTTTGCGCGTTCACGGCTCTGGTTGGGCTTATGCACTCTGCGAAGCGCGTCCACGGGGCTACGCTCGCGAGTGGCCGCAGTTACAGTGTTGTGCCGGGGGACCAGCTCAGCACATCCCATAGTGGTCACACAAAGGCGCTCGGGTTAGTTCGGGCGCTGGTCAGCAGTACGGCGCGTGGCAAGGGACAAAAGCGCGCGGAATGTGGGGATTAGACGGTCCTCAGAGGGGCACTACTGGGGTCCGAGAAGACCTCGACCCATGTAGAAACGTTCTAGGCTTAAACCATTCTATGTACTGTTAATTAAGCCTACTGTATCTGCATAGAAATAATGAGTTTCTCTTTGCAAGTTACAACTTCAATCTTTTTTCTTTTATTCTTTCAGCTCCAGGCCTAAAGGTCATAATGATGTATCCACTGTTGTGTCTAATTACCTAAATTCATCCCTATAGTTTTTTTATTACATAAATGTAATGATTGTGTTTTGACTATTCACTTTTGCTTTTCTTATTTTATTGCAATAGCTGAACACACAATATATGTACATAGATTGTACATTTCTAATAACAGGCATTAAGTGGCAGTAATACAACATGGCATTAAAAGGATTAATTTTACAAATCCAGTCCAATATAAAGATGGAAGTGAACATATGTGCATTAGAGCACTGGAGCATTTTATTTGAAGACATAATAAAATCAGTTTGAATGTAGGTGAAGGAGTGTAGGTCACAGATACAAACAACAGATTCATATGGTCATTTGAGCATGTCTCAAGTTTGTCTTTGAACTTCAGCTTGTTCTCAGTGTGTCCGCTGTCCTGTCTACACACATCCCGTCTACACACACCCATCTCCACACACCTCGTCTACACGCGTGTCCATGTCTGTGATGATGAGGACTTTCTTTTGTGTGGCGTCACTGACCTCAGCAGGTTTGTTTCACGGGGGGTAATCCTGGCCCTGAGAGCGCCAGAGTATAAAGGGGAGGGGCACAGTCCGAGCCCACACACTCTGAGTGAGGCTCGTCGCAGGCACACACAGACAGGTAAGGCCATTATTAAATAAGTCATTGTCAAATAGAAATATACAGCTGAATAACAGAGCCTGTCCTCATAGCAATCATGTCCAGTGGAGATAAGTCCAAGACTTCTTCTCAGACTGACGGCAAGGCTGCTCAGAGCAAGAAGTCTGAGATGGGGATGATGTCCTACAAGGTTTGTGGAACAAGCCTCATCAAGTTGTAGTTCTTTAAATGTACAAAACGTATTTCTGTGTTTGCTCCAGATGTACGTGTTCGACCAGGAGAACTTCCAGGGTCGTATGATTGAGATCAGCAATGAGTGCATGAATGTGTGTGAGATGGGCATGGACCGCGTGCGCTCTCTGCGCGTGGAATGTGGACCGTAAGTGATACACTGAATACAATAGAGAGTATTTTATAGAAGCACATTATTGGATCATTTAACTGAGGTGTGTCTGCAGGTTTGTGGGTTTTGAGCAGATGAACTTCTGTGGAGAAATGTACATCTTGGAGAAGGGAGAGTACCCCCGCTGGGACTCCTGGAGCAATTGCCAGAGGAACGACTACCTGCTGTCCTTCAGGCCTGTCAGAATGGTGTGTACATGACTCCTGTTTGGTTTTTTATACTTATGTTGTGCTAGTATTACTAAACCTCTATACTCTTTCTCAGGACCCTGAGAAGCACAAGATCTGCCTGTATGAGGTGGGAGAGTTCAAGGGCCGTAAGATGGAGATCATGGACGATGACGTCCCCAGTCTGTTCTCTTATGGCTTCACTGACAGAGTGGGCAGCATCATTGTCAGCTGTGGAACGTAAGGCTCTAAACCACACAAACCACTGTAGTTTACATTATTCTGTGTATACATTCACACATACTTAATACCGATACTCTGCTCTGTACAGTTGGGTGGGATACCAGTACCCTGGTTACCGTGGCAGCCAGTACCTTCTGGAGAAGGGCGACTACAGGCACTTCAACGAGTACGGCGCCCGCTGCCCTCAGTTCCAGTCTGTGAGGCGTATCCGTGACATGCAGTGGCACCAACAGGGCTGCTACACCATGGCCAGCAAGTGAGGCTCAGGGAAGGAGAGAAAGAGAAAGAAAGAGTGGGAGTGAGGGAGAGGGGCGGAGGAAGAGAGAGAGGGGAGAGACCACTGAAGCCTTTCCTCTGGGGCTTTGGGTCACTATTTGACCTGACACTTTCTGACCAGCGGAGATGGACACCACTCAGCCCATAATGGGCCTCCCTGACTTCCTCTGCCTCTGCTTTCTCTTTCTCCCCTCCGAGCCGAGCGGTAATGACCACTATCTGCCCCTTTTTAGTCCCTCACTTCATCCCCTCCACACTTTTATGAAACACCAAAGAGGAAGCAAGACAGATGCTTTTTAACACAACTCTCAGCACAGGGTGTGATGCACCATGGGAAACTGAGTGCTCTGCCCCTGCCTTCAGCCCTTGTGCATTGGACACCCTTTCTGCTGTACAGATTTTTGGCCAAGTTTTCAATAAAAGGAAAAATCATGAACTCATACATTTTTTTTGTATCGTTTTTTTGTAATTGTTGAATAAATTCTGTATGGAGTTTTATTCACAGCCTAAATTGAATTTCAATAAACTTAACTACATCTACATGATATCTGTCCAACTAAAGTATTTTTTGTGTACAAAATACTAAAATGGCATTGTCATTAAAATAATGGTCCTATGATAAGTTCATGGGTTCATCCTTACTCACCTCATTTATTACTTTGCATACATTATAAAATGCCCTCACAAACAATATCTTACACTCATACGATCAACACTGATATATAAAAATAAAAAAACAGTTATGTTTTATATGGAGCATAAGATATGCAACTATGATTTTTTTTTTTTCTATTGCACTTCAAGTTTAGATGTTTAGATGCTTATAATTGTATATATTTGTAACATTTCCTTTAATATAAAACCATAGTGTCATGAGCAATTGTTCATTCATACAGTGTTTAACCAGCCATTGCATAATGTCCATCTGCCCCCCAACAGGTGGAAGCGTCAGCGTGACATCATCCGCACAAACTCTAAAAATACAGGAAGAGAAACGGTGTTAAGGTGATTATTGTCAAACAGACAAAGGCAGCTGTCCCCTCCTCACCCTCAAAGTCCACCAGCCCGTCTCCGTTCAAGTCCACATCACGCAAGATCTCGTTGATCTCTCGGTTTGTCACCTGTTCCCCCATCAGCTTCTTCATGGCCTCGCGCAGCTCTGTTAAACTGATCAAGCCATCGCCGTTGGAGTCAAACTGTACCATAAGAGACATGTTCAGAAACAGTCAAAAATACTTAAAACTACCAACCATGCCTATATACCTCCTTAAACGCATCCCGTAGTTCTTTAACCCCAATCATGTCTGCGGTCTCTGCCAACATCTTTGGTCCCATTAGTTCTACAAAGTCCTCAAAGTCAACTTTGCCTCCACCTGTAGGAAAGACACAGTGTTGTTATACCAGATATTATAATGTCATAATTACAGTATTCATTTACAAATGTTTTATTACAGCGACAGTTTGTAGCTTGCGCTGTAACAGTTATAAAAAATGTATTACAATCACAACTGAACCTGAGCTGCCAGTGCCTTAAATTGCATGTAGAGGACACATACACATTTCCTCATTCTCAGTATATGGACAGCAAATACTGCACTAGAGGCAGCACTAGCACTGATGAATGATGCAGGTGCTGACTCATGTGAGACTCATTCTGCTTTCTGATTGGAAAATGTTCTTGAGATACAAAATAATAACTTTAACAACTTGAACATCATGCCAAATGTATTGGTAATTAATGATAAATCAGCTGTACACATTATCATAAAATCAATACCTATATGTGATTTGAACATGTCTACTTCCTATCAGGGAACACAGTTGGGTCATGTTTACGGAATTTAAAATCAAAATCTTACAGGAACATACAGTTCCTTTAAGCATGAATCAATAGCCTATGCCTGTGTTTCTCAGACTGTGGTGTGATTCAGGCTTACTCACAGATCTGCTGGCTCAGCTCAATCAGTTCCATCTCTGTGGGCATGTACCCCATCGTCCTCATGCACTCGCCCAGGTTATTGTGACTGATGTAGCCGTCTTTGTTCATAAACTCTGTGAATGCCTCTCTCAGCTCTGCTCAACACACAAGGCAATGTTTAGGCCCATATACACAGGCATCTGCTCTCATGTTAGACCTTATTTGACCTTACCATCCATCTCCTCCGGCCTCAGCTCCCTGTCCTAGAAACAGACATGTGCAGGTTTGAGAGGAGCCAGAGTACAACAATGAGAACATTCAAGATGGAAATATTTACAAATGTACTTAAACACAAAAGTGGGGCCTCCAAATCTAAACACAATCTTATGACATAAGAACACAAATGATATGGTTGGCTTTGGCCATTCAAATAAAGGCCTTTTAACTATATTTTTCCTCGTGCGATGTGTTAACTTTTTCTACTGTTTTGGAGTGCCTGGAGGCCGTTGTGTTTTGACAAATGATATGGTGTTTGAATGTAAAAATATAACAGAAGTACAATGAAAATGAAAGTGTGATAATAAAACCCCTACATACAATCAATGTATTGTTTAAGCAGGCTTAGCGTTCTAGCAGTTTGCTAATGTAAAAAAGCTATGTGTTTTGAGTGATCAGCTTTATGTATGTATACTTACATATCTGATGCATTATAAAGGATTAAAGTGCACTGTAATTATAAATAAATACACAATACAGATCATGTTTGATAGCTAGAAGACCATACAGAGCTCAAAGAAAATAATGCTTTAAAAACAACTATATTGACACTTTGCAGCTGATGTCATCAACATTTCCTGAGGATGTGATGCTAACTGTAGACAGTGCTCTGTCTGAAGCTCTGTTACTCAAATTAGACACAATATGACCATAAAGAGCTCACTTAGTTGGAACGACAACAAGTGAGATGAACAGGCCTCTCACACATAAAATTAGACTCACAAGCTAGTTAGCAGTAGTAAGTCACCCTCACCTGTTTTTGTAGGAAATCAAACACCTAAACAGGACCATAAACACTCTTATTGATCACAGTTTCCTGAAAATGTGTTATGTTAAACTACATTTTTTTTGTTTTGTTTTTTTTGTGCTTTGTGTCATCATGGTAACTGCTGACCATTCCACCATATAGAGACAGATGCAGAACACCCCCAGCATGATGTCACTGCAAAGTATCAATAGTGTGTTTTAAGAGGAGTTCAGGCTTGTCCTCACCATCGGCCCTAATAGACCTGATAGTGCAGCCAAACCAATCGATGTGTTGCCATGGAAATGATTGATGGATGCTTGTGCGCGGTAGTTAAATGAGGGCTGAAATGTCTGGTTCAGGTCAGTGATGGCAGGCAGTGACAAAACTATAGCATTACTATAGAGGCAGGGAATAGTAGTAGTAGTGGTGAGTTGTATTTTTGAATTTCCCTTTTTGTTATATTATTCTCATTGCCAATACTGAATGATGCACTATATCACTTTTCTTGTAGATTGTCAGCTACCTGCTTGTCTCCATGGAGGTTCCTGTTTATGACATTAAACTATTTATCTCTGAGGAGACAAGCAGGTGAGGCCATCAAGTCAAGTAACGGGTCAGATCCTTGGGGAATGACCCTGTTCACACTACTGCATGTTTATCAAGGTAGTTTTGAATGATGAATGATGAAAAACAGAGCAAATGCTATTAATGCCATACTGTAGAATATCTCTGCTTAAGAATTAACATACCCATGGACTTGAGGATTTTTTTCTAATGCGCTTTTCTGTCTCACTTGATCAATACTAAAGCTCAGATACTATGGTTTTACTTCTACTAAATTAATCTGAACATAATTTGGCTCAATAGTCTCATAACAGCTTACTTACACAACCTACGTCCGGTATTATTAAAAAGTTCCCATATGGATGAAGATGAGGTGACTGAATAATTGGGTGATTTTAAAGTATATAACTTGTTACATACGAATGCAACCCCCTCTCTTAGGAACACACAGGCCGGGCCTACTATCTGCAGCATCTTGCAGTTCTTCACCAAAGCACCAAATGTTTCTTTGAAAGGCTTTTCCTTCACATCTTGATCCTCATCGTCCTCTAGGTGGCGTTCTGTTTGCGAATGGGCTTTAATGCTGTCATTTGCCCCCTTAGAGTCACACAATTGTTAGTATTAATCATAATCATCTTTGTATAAACAGATAGGAGCCATAGTCAAACAGTGAGAGCTGAGTTGTAAGCCTGGAGTACATAAGCTGCTTTTAATTCCGAAGTAATCTTCTCACATCAGCCGACACTGGACAACTTAGAGCTAACCACTTCTTGTCCAACGGCTCATTTTGCTAATTGTCTGATCCTCTAACATCTTCTGGAGTTATGTAAGACTTACAGCATCTTCTCATGTGTTCTTCAATTAAGAAGAAAATAGGAAATATTTTGCTAAAGGAGCAAAGCCAATACTACTGCCAAAAATTCAACGTGTGGTGGTCTAAACTATACCGAACAAAATTAAATACATATTTTTTCTGCTCAAATAGTTTTTAAGTTTTGTAATTTAACTTATTATTTCACTTATGCTTTTCCTTTTATTTCTTTTTTGTCTCCTTTTTAAGAGACTCTAACCCAGTCAGTTTTGATTTCACTGTCTGAATACCGCTTATGAAAGTTGATTCTTACACATCATTGTTACCACAAAACATAAAGTTCTATCTATCAAGTAGAGTCAGTCAAAGATTTATCATTAAAATAAATAAATAAAATAAAAACTAAACAAAAAGCTAACAAAAATTAATGGAAAGTTTCCTACCTTTTTTCTTTTCATGGATGGTTTGGTGCAGTTGCCCATCACCAAATGAGATTAGTAAAGTCCTTTGTTTCCCTGTTCCATATTTGTTACAAAAAATAGGATCCTGATATACACCATGTTAAAAAAATATTATAGTACTGCCCAAACAATTAATCTCTGTAATTTAAAGCTGCAGCCAAAGAAGTGGCTCCACATTTGAGGCAGTGGTTTTAAAACTTCCCTCCCTCCCTCTCCCTCCATCCCTCTCTCTCTCCTTCGCTCTCTATCTCTCTTTCTCCTCCCCCTCTCTCCATGTCAGTCTGTGTCCTCTCCTCTCACGCGCTCAGTGGCAGTGGGTTTAACGTTTTGACGGGGGAATTAAGTGCATATAAATGAACTGGTCTTAATCCTTGCGGTTTTAGATTACTGAGAAAGATATTCTGATCAAGAGAAATTAACAACTATGACATATAAAAAAAAAGTTTGAATAGTCTAAAATTATTAAGGTAAATAAAAGATAGACTGGTTGAATGCTATACTCCGGTCAAAGCATCATGGAGACCACAGGCAGACTCCTCATTAGAAAAGTTGCATAGTTCATCTTTAAACCAGTTCTCAAAATTCTGACATTTACTTGTTACATAAGGAAATCTTAACCAGAATCAGTACTAGAACTAAAGAGTTAAACCAGGTCTAGGACAAAATCCTGTTCCATCTACTTCTGAGAACTAAGTGCTTTAGACAATTTTTAGGAAGAGAAGAGGAAATTAGAGTGTGTATTTTTAGGCAAATTCCTGTGTCATATGGTGTGGCAGGATGAATGGGGCTCTCGTGCCTCTCTTAATATTTTGCGTGTAAGTTGTTACACAATCTGATGAGCTTTGACAAGAGGGGCGTTGCTGTGGTGCTTTAGAAAGAGACAGCAGAAGTTGGGATCATGAACTTACTGAAGAGTGTAACACATCCACCACAAATTTATAAGCCGATTTAGACAAGATATTAGAGCACAGCTTGAATAATAATACATGTTTTTATCTGAATATTTGAGCCATGCCCATATGTAACATTTTCAACCAATATATAATTATTGCTAAAATACTGAAGCTTCTATTGCTCAAATACAACTTAAGCATTTGAATTAAACTGAAACAGGAAAAAATTATATTATGGGTTATATGGGTAGTCCAAAAGAGAAAAATAGGCCTATATTTTTTTATTACTTAGACTTACTCACACTTAGGGAAATTATTTGGACACAGTAGCTCACATATCACAATTAATATAATAATAATAATAATAATAATAATAATAATAATAGTGTGCAAATATAAATAGTAATGATAAATTAAAAATAAGTAGCAAAAATAGCAACAGACAGGTGTCAAATGTGGCATAACTATTAAAATTCATATGTACTAGTCAAATTCTAAATTAGATCATGTAAACATGAATACTAGAGCATTCAAGTTAAAATAGCATAACTTGTTCTATGCACAACCTCTAACTCTTTGGATGGTGTAATGCAAAATCATGACCACCTGAGGCCGCTGTAATATAGAATTATTATAGGAGTGTGCTCGAGCAGCTGCAGGGACATTAAGCTGAGATGTGGCAGTTTTTTCATGGACAGAGATGGAGCTTAAGCAGTGAGCGAAGACTTATACCACTAAATGTGCCATAGGTTATGACATCAATATACTACTACTTGTAACTACTAAAAAGCACTTTGAGTGGGAAAAAACACAAAATGCTTGCAAATATATGCTATAATGACTGCTGATAGCACCTAGAGAGACAGAGAGAGATGTATTTTAGTCACTAAGCAACTTCCAGCTATACTAAAGTCTTTGTATTCACTTAAGCTTTAGTATAACATGTATGATTTATTTTTATTTCTACGTTTTTGTTTATATTTTAACTATATTGTTATTACTTATATCCTTGTATTTATTATTCATCTTAAGCACATTTAGTTGCTATTTTGGCCTAAAATGAGCACTATAAATAATTTACTTTAATACTAATAATTATCACACATACTTTCATGAACAGAGAACAAACCAACCAACCAAAGAATAACCATGACAGGAGCCTTTACCCTCCGACCTATTCCAATAGGGTAACTAGGATATTTTTATTTTACATTTATAGTGTATCATATTATACTTGTCTTTAAATCAAGTTTGATCTTATTTAATTTTGTGTATTCTCTTCTCTCGTCTTAAAACTGCCTCACACTGCTGCACAAATGTGTTATTTAAATAGGCCAGGGATGTCCAAACCCTATTCACCACATATGCAAACATATTCGTAGTGGGGGGCTGCAGACAGACATGGGGTCAATACAGAGAGACTTTCATATAGAGGCATGTAAATAAGCTTGAAAGACTCATAACACCTTTAAAAAATCTAACACTAGAACACAGATTTTTGATCTGTATCACAAAGCAATGAAATGTCATTGAGGTTGCAGTGATAGAGATATTTGAATTTCAAATAAAAAGTACTGTCTATGATCTTTGGGATTCCCCTGAGTATTTTGCAGCAGAGTTTGAGATCTAATAGCTTGTTGTAGTGATTTTGTTTTAAAAAATTGCAGAATTTTGTTCAACAGAAATAATTCAATCAGTATTTTTTTTTCCTAGCCACTTTTATATGTATTTTCTAGTTTGCTCAAACTATGAATGAGTTAAAATAAACCCCCAGTCTCGGCTGGTGTCAAACTATAATACTTTTACTTTTCAGTCCTGTCCAAAAATGTAATGAAGTAGAATGTACAAATACCTGCTCTCAAATGTAGTAAAAAGTATCCACTTAAAAGCTTCTTAAGTAAAGTACAGATGCCTAAATTTTTTTTTACTTAAGTACAGGTCTTTATTACTTTTACTTTGTTACTTTCCACCACTGATTAATTCTTGCTATAAATAACCGAAGACAGCAGCAATGCCATTAGGTCTGATTAAACTCCTCTATTTTAATATTTGATGTGAATGACTATTTAATGTTAGACAGGTTTAGTCATAGCACGTTTTCATTACTTTTCAATTGCATGTCCAAGTGGGCACATGACTGACGGTAACTCCATCAGTAGTAGGTTCATTTTGTGGCATGCACTTGTAATACTAGCTGTCCATGTTTTTGTGGTTGAGTGTGGTAGAACAATAGTAAAGTGATCTTAGTAAAACAGTGTTGGTGCAGCACTGGGCAGGAACAGATCGGGTTGTGATGTGAGATCAGATGAGGGGCTAAAGACAGAAGAGACAGGATCAGACAAAACCTGTGTGCTCCTTTTGTTGTCACTATACTAAAATTTCAAACTCGATTTCAGTATTGAGGAATTGGCTTGATATTCAATACAGATTTCGATACCACAATAATCACAATTTTCAACACAAAACAGGAATTACCATGTGGTCTTATACAAATTTGATAAAGCTAGTATAAGACTGGTTGTCCTCTTAAAGTAATATTTTTTGTATTGGTACTTTTTCAAATGAGTACCTAGTTTCGGTATCAATTAGTATCTGATTTACGATATTTTTGACAACCTTAGTCTCTATGGATGAAAACAACTCAATTTCTATGTAGTCTATTATTATGATTTTTCTTTTTATGATTTTCTTTTTTAGTTTTTGAGAAAATTGTTTTTTATGTCTATGTTTGTGTGAACATACTGTAGCATTTTTAATACTTGAGGTGCAATTATTTGGATTATTACACTATTCTGTGCTCTACGTTGTGCAAAATGGACTGTCTGAAACAGTTAAGTGCTCCACTGCATATTTAAACGTATACACTCTGACATATACCCTCACTAAAATCATCTGGATAATTTTAGCCCTGGAATTTCCAATTTCTGCTGAACAAAAGGTAACTTGAAAACTACCGCTTCATGACATCACAAGGTGGAACAGTGCATTTTGAGCTTTGAAGATGTAGACAGACTAATATAAAAGGGTTATTTAAACATGTGTGAATGAAATGAAATGAAACAAAAACAAAGGAGGTAACAACATTATAACATGGCTTAAAGCTGACCAGAGGCAATTTTGTGTGTTATTTGACTTCTGACATTTAAAGAAAAGGCAAAGGTCAGTAAAGGTAAGGCCTTTCATGCAAACTCTACCCCTTTAAAGACAGTGTCTGATGAGTTGTCTCTCACGGTTTCCGCGTCTACAGTTTCTGTCTTAAAATATACGGGACCTCTTGCATCATTGTCTCTTTTGTCGCTTATTACCGTGGTGCCCCTAATTAGGATAAGCAACATCAGGGTTGACTTCTCATGCACAACGTAATAACAACTTCCTGTTTTTGACCCCACTACTGCTGTGATCAGGTTACTTGTTTCTAGAAAGGCAATGAGCGGTTTGTAGTGAGAGAAACATAATCTGTTCTTCCTACTCAAAAACATACATCTATAGCTCCTGGCTTAACACAACATGATACCACTAGAATACACATGTTGAAGTGACAGATGCTTAAAGCTCATGCGTGCCAGTGTTGTTCCATATTTGAGCCGACACCAGTGGAACGATGTCTTCAGATCTCTGTGTGACTGTGGCTGTATCCCTTACAGATTACATGTTTTCCGAAGTAGAGAAGCTTAAACCCCCCCTCAAACGCACGCTATCTTCTCAGCTTTAGTCCACTTTGTTTGGCTGTAAGAATTGTTGGCATTAGTGACATGTAGATAATTAAGGTAGCCAATATGTGAAGAAACGATAGGGAGGGTAGGTGCAGTCAGGCGGGGCAGGCGAAAAGTGTAACTCAGATGAGATGGTTTTAAATTTGTATTTGGGGCTTAGAGTTTCAATCATGAGGCTGGAAAGACATTTAATCAGCCACAGAACTTGAGCCACGCAACATGGACCCACACAGAGGACGATTCTACTACAGACTTACATAAAGCGTTTGGTAACACAAGCCCAAAACAGTAGCCTGCTGCTTCATATAACTTTAATAGTGTTCTGAGAGTACAGAGACTCTAAATATAGCCAAATATTTATTTTATTTTAATTTTTTTCTTTCTTTGTTTTCTTTTCATCTTTCTTTTTCTTTATTTCCATGGAATCATGCAGGTTCTACAGTTACTTTTTGTAGGCACCCAAAACTCACAAGAGGGATAAGGAGATGATTTATGTGAATGAAAAATCTAGTTGCAATGTTTTAAGGAGAAGATTGGACAATGTGCATGTAAAATAAGGCAGCCAGCAAACAGAATACATATTAACATACAAGATCCATCTGTAGCCTATTGTACTTTATCTGTTGTATACAAAGAAAGCAATTAGTGGGCCTATTTACATTTTTTAACTTTGCATTCAGATAAAGTCCAATTCATGCAGCACTTACCTGTCCAAACACAGAGGTGACGATGGGCAGCAGGTCCACTGGCTCCGCCTCCTTCTCTGGCTCCTGTGACTCTTTTCTTTGTGGTCCCTCCATCAGCTCCTCCAGGGTCTGCTCCAGTTTTTGTGCCTCTTCGATGGTGGGGTTGGGCCTCACCACTTGGGCTTTCCTCTGCCGTGGCGTTTGCGGCGTTGAGACTTCACCGGGCGTCCTTCCCTGGTTGTCTTTCCTTTTCTTCTGCTTCTCTACTTTCTTCTTGATCGCAGCTTGAACCTTTGAAGGGAAGAGGAGAGCAACAATTACGAGCTTTGGGAAAAAGAGACTGTACACACAAGCCTGGTACTTTTATGTCACAGTGTTCAAAATATGGGGCTCAGTGTCCTGCATATGACACCTGGACATTTAAAATGCATGCAAATTAGGCAGGGCTTCTGTCACTTTCCAGGAAAAAGACAAATGAGATCTCTATTAACATTTTATATGTGGTGTTTTATGCTTGGTTTACAGTGCACATGATGATTTACATTAATGAGGTTTTAATGAACTAAAAAAGAGATTAAACATAATATGGTATTGTTTCATAGATTCATAATTATTAATTGTAACACCTGAAACCAGGATCCAATAAATTATTCATTGACCATTCCAAAAAGACAGCATGCAAAATACGCAAGCATGCATTTATGAAAATATATCTAATAATGATAGTCCAAATTCATCAATATAAATACTTGTTTAGTGAAAATTTGTATTGTGTATTTGTGTAAATTTTGATTTGGGCCTGTAACTATATTGCATTTAATTATAACTATACTATAATTCTATATTATAACTATATTGTATTTCAATTAAAAACTTTTTCAGATTTAAAATAACAATGAATGGACAATAGATCAATTACAAAGCTTATGTGGAGTATAGAGGGTGGTTTAGCCAGACACAGTTAAATGCTATTAAAAAAATAATAAAAGAAGAAGAGAGTTTATAAAGTTAAATCCTCTCAGAGACGGGTAGCACTTTGCTTTGATTAAAAAAGTAAACCTATTTTGCAAGCCCTTCTTTCATTGTTAGTTTCCCCCTTATTGAACCTTTTCAGATGCCCTGCCTTTGCATTAAATTTGTCCACGCACCTGTTTTGCAGTCCTCTCGGGTGGTGCGCTCACAGCCCCCGGAGCGCCTCCTCCTGCTGGTGTCTCCCGAATGATCATGAACATGTTTCAGCGGCGATCCCAATCCTCCCTCTCTCTCTCCCACCCCCTCCCTCACCCACCTCACTCCTCTCTCCTCCGCTACACTGGCCCTTACCGCTGTCTTGTTTTTCTACTTTTATGTGTTAAACCTCACAAGCAATCTGCAACAAAGCTCATAATTGGATCAAACATGGCAATAAGTCCTCTAAAAAAAAATTTGTTAATCAAAGTGAGCAAAAACTTTTCTCAGCTCAAGATATAAAGGCTATAAAATAATCTCCAAAAGTGTAGAGAAACATAAAGTTCTCAATCTCTTCTTTCTTCCTTAAAAATGAAATGTGAAAAATCCAAGTTATTTGCTGGTTGGTTCCGTCAGTGCTGCACCTTGCTTGTCTAGATTTCGGTCTCACAGTGCGTTTCAGGTGAGCAGGTTTTTATCATCCGCAGTAGTCTTGGCTGTGGGATTGGGTTCCTGCACCTCTGCCCTCGTGCCGATCCCTGCCCCTTTAGGTGACATTCTATACCTCCCCAACTTTACTGGTTGCTCGCGTTATCTACCTCTCACACACCGACCTCTCTGTCTCCTCCTCTTCCTCTCTGCATTTCCATCAACACAGACAAAAGATCACATATTCCTGATTTAAATGGCTTGATGAATATAACAATATATGCAACATTAGCCATACATTTGCAGTATATACAGTTTTACAGGTCATTGGTTTCCCTGGAGTGTTCTACAATCTGCCATTAAACTTACCTTTTTTATTAATTTACCTTTTTTTCCCTTTTCCTTTCTTTTTTCCGTTCCTTTTTTACCTCTCCACAGATCTGACCTGTAACTTGGCCTTTTGGCATCATCTGTTTGTCTCCCTGGCCTGGAGATAGATAAGTTAAATATAGGTTAAATGTGGGTAAAACAGTGAGATCTCCATGGAGACAAGCAAGTGGTGAACCCTCCACCAGAAAAGTTACATAGTGCACTTTTAAACAAATACTTATAGCCTACTAATAATCAGTAGCTATGACAGCTTTTGATTTTATGAGGATTTTTACAAATAAGGTCAGTAATAGACTATCAAATCTTCATCCAGTATTTACAATTGTATTTCTAAGAGGGGAACATAGGCCACATAAAGTAGAAATTGTCAAATTATACACCCCTAGTACCAAAACAAGTTTAAAATAAGACTTAACTTGGATTTAAGCAGGACTATACCAGAATCATACATGAGTAAACTTGGTTGAAATCAGGGCTAGTTCAAAAAAGCACTAACTAAAAATTGAAATATGAAATACAAAAATGATCAAAATGGAAGAGAACTTGCACTATTTTTGTGTGTGTGTATATATATATATATATATATATATATATATATATATATATATATATATATATATATATATATATATATATATATATATATATATATATATATGTGTCAATTTTGGGGCCAACAGTATCAAGCTGATTTGGGGAGATGCTGTTAATCCCTCCATCTCTTTCATATCTGAAGCCTTTGTTGTGTCCAAATTGGATTGTTGTTAGATTTGCCCGGGTCAGATGAAACATTCTGAAATTGCAGCGTTGGGTTTGAATAAAAACACCTCTCTTGAATGATGTCCACATTCTTACATAAGCTTATTCTACACGTGTGGTTGGGCAGCATACACAGGTGCAGACAGTGTCCTATCTCAGGCCTAGTTATAAATGTGAAAATGCAAAGAAGCGAGTGCACATCAAACAGTAACAGATCAGTGCTATTTTCAGCTCTACAAAAGCATAATAGTGAATGCAAAAAAACTAATTCCACTAAAAGCTTTACAAATATAAACATGATGTGATTTATTTTTAAAGAAACAAGGCATAGACAGGTGATGGGGTTGAACTGAATAGTGTTATTATGAGCAATACATACTTTTTGAAAGAGAAACAGATAGACAAATTGATATGGTGTGACAGCACATCTATTGTGGTACTTTATTTGGCGATACTGTATTGCATTATTAGCTTTAAAAAAAAAAATTTTTGAGGCTTGTTTGGAGAATAGTGAAAAGAGTTTATTTAATGCAAGTATTCACTGTTGCAAAAATTGCATAGGAAAACTGATAAATCTATGTGATAATGTGTCTATTTCAGCTTTGTGAGTGATTGGCAACTGTCCATGGTATAAATATACATTACCAAAAGTGCTGCTATAGCAGACAACTAATCAGCATTATTATTATAATAATAATAATTTTTTTTTTTTTAGATTAATCATTGCATCCCTATTAAACTCTTCAACTTAACATGCCTCTAGACTTTACCCCCTACATGACTTTTTGTTTAACTTCTCCATCTTGCCCTCATCTCTCCAGTTAACCTGGATTAAACATCTGATACACACTGGAGGTTGCCCAGACAGTGGATAACGTATGGCTTAACATCTCTCCAGTTTCTAATGAGGTTTCCATGAATCACTTAAACTTGGGACCTAAACCGCAAAGGCCCCTCTGTCTCTCCCTCGCACAATCCCGATCCTTATTAACTATAGATGAAACGCCAAGTTACTGACAGTCAAGGTTAAACATAGGCATTCCATTATCTTTAAGTATAGGTCTCAAAAAAGGTGTAGAGGTGTGGAAATATCTCTGACAAGATTGAAAATTAGATTGAAAAAAGTGCGGAAATGTTGAGAGAATATGAGTTTTAACCTTGGTCAGAGACAGGTGAGTGATTGAGGGAGTGGTAGCTCAGGAGCAATGTAGAAGTGTAGGCTTGTGTTACTAATGCTATGTTGATCAGTCCTCTATAATATCTAATTACAGATGAAGACGGAGGCAGACGAAAGGGGTGAGCCTGGACATAACCCCATCAAGTCTGTAACACTGAAGTCTGCAGTTAATGTATAGGGTGACGCACATAGACAAAGATAAAACTTTTATTTGGGTCAGACCAATTCTCATTATTTATTTGGTCGCAACAGAAGTCATTTAAAATACTCAAAGGTCAATGGCAACGTGTAAACCATGTCTAAAAGGACACTGGAACATATAGATGTCTTTGGCACTAGACATGAATTATTCACATAACAATAAAATATTATTAGTATAGTACATTATTCGTTTTATATTTTCAAGCAATTTTATTTTAGTCTTAATTTTTTAATTTTTTTAGATTAGTTTATACAGTCTATTTTTTGTTTTTTCTAAACAGGATTATTTTATTCTGCAATTATAATGATGTTCCTTTTTTTTTTAATTAAATCTTATATTAGTAAATGACTGATGTGTGGTGTTGCACTTGATTGTACCATAATGTAGAATCTGATTCACATTATTTAAATAATCAGAGTAGGTGCACATGTACGCCCTCTAGTGGAGCTATATAGAAGTAGCAGAAAAATGCAATGGAAATGGGGAAAAGCCATTGTGGGCTCTACTTGAGCTAACATTGCTTAAGTAAAATGCATTTTTAAACATTACAATTGCTAGGAAATGCATTGGTTGACAGTTTATAAAATATCTGAGAATTCAATTATTTTCAGGATTATGCTACATAAACAAAATTAATATATTTACAAACAAAGGCACATTTTATTTCAGGTTAGTGTCCATTTACTAGAATAAAGTGCCCATTTTAATATAAAGCAAGTTAAGCCCAGTGTGGTGAGACTATGATAAGGGGCTCTCGGTTTTGCCCGTTGATAATTGGCCAGGGGTTAAAATATGGGAAAACCGCTTCTTTGAATTTAGCGTCGTAGAAAGTGAAAAGATGGTCCATGTCCTCTGCATTGTAAAACGCCACTTCTCCCCGACCATAGTCCAGGTAGACCCCCACCCTCTTGGGACGCTTGGTTGGATAAATCAAGCCCTCCTCCTCTGAGTCAGTGCAGGCCTCATACTCACTGGTCCCGTCTCCATTGTCCCGGAGCACTAGGGTCCAGAATCCATCTTCAGGACAGAGGCTGATCTCCTCCTTTCGGTTAACAGATGCCCTGGCTACTCCAAGCCCCCAGGCAGTTTTTGATCCCACATCCACCTCCCAGTAGTGTCGCCCCGAAGTGAAAGCTTGGGACCCCAGGACGATGTTGTAGCGGGTGAAGCGCTCTGGGTTATTGGGGAGGGTGGGGCGGATGTTGCCCACCTGGACACTGGTGCGGCACTCGGAGACCCACAGGCAAGGATAGGCTGTGTCCGGATCAAGAGTCACTTTGGTCATGGCTAAAACAAAGATGAAAAACTTTTACTTTTATGTCACAATATAACATTTTTGTGTTATGAGAAGTATGTGACAGTATGGGTACACAAGCTTGTGACAATTTAAGGTCCCAAAGTCTTGTTGCATCTCGTGAAATCAAACTTTCTGAGTGATAAATTAGTGTGATATAAACAGCCTGATACAGAAGGACTTTGGTTTACTTTTTGTAGTGTAGTTTGAAGGGACTTTTTCATTTCTGCTTCTAAAATGATCACAATTATTATTCCATAATTCTTACAATTCCACTTGAATAATCAAATACACATTTTGCAAGTCCATTTTATTTTTGAATATTTATTTACATGTGGTTTAAGAATCTGAAAATTTAAACAAACTGTGGAAATGTAAAAATGTGAAAAAAAAAGTCTAATTTGGTACTAAATCAGAACTAGACTAAAAACTAAACCAAGCTCTAAATCTGGAACCAGGTCTGACCAAGGACATCAATAGACTAAACATGACCTACAATTACATGCTATGATCCTGTAGGCATATCCTTGGTGTTGACCTTCAGCTTAGAGACACTCTTAATCACTCACTGTTAATTTGCTGAAAGACGAGACGTGCCAGAGTTGTAGCTAAACGAACACACTAAATTTTAAATGCTAGTGTGTGTAACTACTTTGACGTAAACTGAAATTTAGATGTGTTTGGTCAGTCCGAATGCCCTTGGTGGATACACAATGAGAGACGAAAGAAGAAAGCAGGTTACAAGTCCATTAATCATTGCATTTTTGACATTCTTGGCAGCCAAAGCTTAGAGCAGCTTAGAGGGAGTTTGACAGTGAAGGAAAATAAACAGTTTAGAGTTTTTGAGACAATGGAGCTACAGACACTGGTTGACTATAAAATTTCTGTCCACCTTTTGTTAACAGTAAAGCTGGCTCAAAGTGGAATATGTACATGTGTAGAAAGACACACAGAGATGGATTACAGATTACTATTGCACACAAACAATAGCAAAGTTACACTGGCTGGATAAAACATTTGTAACTTAAATATAGTTATTAAATAAAATTGATGTTTTGCCAAGAAGCTTAAGAGATTTCTGGTCATGGTTTGATGTAGGAGCATTACAAAGAAGGGATAAACTGTTCATCTCATTTAACACTTTTCATGTAAATATAATTATATGGCCAACAAAAGCACAGCATTTTTTTTACTTCTTTAGCAAATATATTATTACAATTTGATCTTTTTTTTTTGTAGATTTTGGTTTTATTTAGACCTTTACAGTGGCTGTTGTCAGTTAGTTCTGATTATTATCACATGTTTGGAGTTATAAGATTATTAAAATGAACTATAAGCAACAAAATCATCTAATTTCTTTCTGATCATGGTCTCTCTGGTTATTCTCATCAAACTGTGCAGTTTGCATGTTCTTTAAGTCATTTTAAAGGTCTGGAAATTAGATATTCATCTGGTTTTGGTGAACTTGTAACTGTAGTCAGTGTCAAATGTTAAATGTAAGCCTGTAGAATAAAATTATCAATTACTTTTAATTAGTCTTTGTTATTGGATTTACCTGACTGAAATATTGACCACATCTTCCTCCATGTTTTGTATTGAAGAGGGCCCAGGAACTCTCCAGACTGTAGATCCACACTCACCTCCGGGGGGTGCTCAAACAGGCTCTCAGCCCTAAACAAACACAGGAACAGACCCTTAGCTCTGGCACTCTGCAGGTCTTTTTTAAAATTACTTCACAACCTTCATTTTTTGTTTTTCTCAGAAGTACAACTTCACAAACAAAGGAAATGTCATACATACCTGTTATACAATGCAACTAAATATTTCTACCTATAGTAACAAGATTTGAATTCTTTAAACCGTAGTTTTATAAACAGTTGTTCCCACACTTCAACATTAAAAATAGACATGACAACTTTGCTTCATCTGAGAATTTTCAATGTATATTCTGCTTTTAAAATAAACTTTTAACTGAATACCAGAAACAAGTAATTGACATAAAACAAATATCTAAAAAGCTACAATAACAAACAAAGTACATTTTTCAGTTTAGATCCATTTATCAATACATACTATCCACCCCAGAGTGAGTAAGGACTGGTTCATAATTTATGCAATTTGTCTTTCTTGACCCAATCTCCTCAGTTCATTTCAACCTGGGGATTTGCACTTCATTAAATTCATAAAAAGGAAGGGAATGCATTGTTTTTGTCTTGACTCTAGTTTGTTCAGTATGTTTAAACCTTATAAAGTCAGTAAATAGATAAATATTGGTTAGTATTTCTTTTTGTGCAGTTTATCAGTTAAACCACAGTTATGTCCCAACATCCTGTCACAGCCTTAGGTCATCATAGGACAAACTTGAGACTTGCAAATGCGAGTTACTTAATAGAACATCAATGCAGTCACGTAACACGCATACAATATATCAGTGTGACATGGTTTGATTTAATGGGAAATACACTCACCCTCCGATGAAGTCTTTGATTCCCTGTAAAGAGCAGATTAAAACAAGTTAAGATTCAGCTATCTGCAGAAACATGTTTTAGCCATATGGCGCTAGTATTTAGTTCCTCGTTGTTGTACAAATAGGGATTTAACAATGCATTCAGTTTGATGATTTGACTTTATCTTTATAACCGAATTCAGCTGTGATCTAATGAAAGAGGAATTCATTTTTGTTCCCAAATAATTTTAAAAGGTTCTATATTACACAAAATGCCTGCATGTGAGCTGTTAGCCATGTTATAATGTTGTCACCTCATCAATAACATAACTGGGATTGTGTTTTGTTTCATTCACTGTCTGTCTGCATCTCAAAATCTTAAAATGTCTTTCACCTTGTGATGTCATGTAGCGGCAGTTATCAAGTTAACAGTTACCTTTTATCTTTAGTTCAGTAGATGGGCAAATCCAGGGCTGAAATTATCCAAATGATTCTTGTGAAGGTGTATAGAGTTTAAAAACACAGTGGAGCACTTCCTGTATTGCCACATGCCAGTGTTTTTTGTTTGATAGAAGAACTCAGACTAAATATGCCGGTTTTGTGTGTTGAAAAACCAAAACAAAAAAAAACACAACCCCAGGTATGTTTGTGATGGGTAAACAAAACTATTAATACTCCAAATAAAGTGACAAAAACAAAATGTCAAACAAAACTTTTAAAAATTTATTTGTGTGCACGGTAACAGTGTTTATTACCAAACACGTGAGCTGGATCATCTGATATAAATGTACTTTTTTAACAGTAAATGAATACTGTTACATTATTATAATAAATGTATTACCAGCTTATTTTGTACTGGTCATCATTTCATTCAGATAAACTAGTTTTATCTATTTTAAATTCACAACTGTTCCTTTAAGTGCTGCAGTTATGTTATTTTATGTTTTACCTTGAGTTGCTCTGGGTTTTCTTCCTCTCTTAGTTTGGCACACAGTTCATCAGCTGTTTTTTCCAGCTGGCTTATCTGCTCTGTGGCCTGTGTCAGAGCCTCCTCCAGTTGATTAAGTTTGTCCTCTTTCTGCCTCTGTAGTTTTTCCTTGATGCGTTGCTCCTCTTCAAGAAGAAAGTCCCTCAAACGTCCAATCTCCGCTGTGACCTGCTCCTCCAGGTCTCCAGCCTTTTCCTAAAACACATGTATGGGAAAGTACCATTCATAAATCAAAATATATTATTCAATGTGGATAAAATGGACGGACCCAAAAGATCATTTATTACAATATCATATGATTTGCATGTTTTCTATGACATTCATATAAACAGGTAGCACGTGTACTGAGAGGAAGAGGAAGTACTTATTCATTCTATTTGTCCACATCCTGTCAAACACAGAAGTGAAATCTTTGTGTGTGCAGTGCACTGTGCACATAAACTGGGTCAAATCGACAGACAGGAAAACACATGCTCACAGTAGCAGCGGATGGTATGTATAGTGTAGCTGCAGGCTGCACCCCGTAGTGAGTTTACCCTGTAGACATCGTAACAGACAGGCCTGTGTGTAGGTTACCACTGCATAACCCTTATCAGTCTCTGTGAGGGTGTGTACACTGTGCACTTTAATATTGTGTTTATGCTTTTCATTTGGAGGGGGTGAGGAAGACAAACACTGACTGACGCACACCTCTGTCATAACATATCACACCAAAGGTTACGGTTTTACCAAATGTGCGAAACCCCAGGTCTGAACACAGTGAGTAATGACTGAGTCGAGTGGATACCAGGTAATGGGGAGGAATGCAGGTGAGTGCTGCCTAGCAACAGGCTTTTCAGGTTCAGTCCCTACAACACATCTGTATTAAGTGTCAGTGCCAAAGCTCAATGATGAACATACCACACACACATATATGTATAGTATATACTGTATATAGTACGTAACTCTATACCTTAATGAGGAGAATCTTATCATTGGTTTGTCTCTGGAAGAGCGAGGCCTCCTCTGCCTGCAGCTGCACCCTCTGCAGAGCCACTGACAGTTTGTCCTGAACAACAGTCATATGAAACACATTAACAAGTGGTGTCACATATAAGTCAACTCAAGACATGATCTGATTGGCTCCTTGCTCTAAAAAACAACTGTGTTAAACAGGATTCATATGATACTCTGCCTCCAACCAAACAGTGTGACCTACAAATTCAAACAAATCAGGAATTTAGCACCAGTAAAATGCTCAAACATGGACAGTCAACAGAGTTAAAAGAGCAGCACTGCTCTGCTGCATTCCTGTTATACAGTGTCTACAGGCACCAAACAGACCAGTGTCCTGGGACAAGAGTGAGGGGCACAGTTAAACCTGTTCAGACACTAGATGGCTTTTTTTTTTTTTCGCTTAAAAAAAGCTCTTGAAATGTTGGCAGGTTAGTGAGAAAAAGAGAGAAAGGAGTTCATATTTGCTGAGTAAAGGCATTCCTTAAAAGTAATATCCCAGGTCTGTAACTAAAGCAAACATGTCTTACCTTCTATTGTTCTAGTACTAACCTGTTAAACTAGCTAATAAAAAGTTGCGGAAGATATTTGTAGAATAAAATTAAGAATTATATATGTACTTGGTAATGTTATTCTAGTTAAGCTCCTTACAAGATAACAGACAAGTTTGTAATCTGATCTTGAGATATGCACTGTATTTATGCAGTGATACTAAATGTAAGGTTGGGGTGACCAGACTTCCCTCTTTACCAGGGACAGTCTCAGTTTTGAGCCCTATGTCTCCTGTCCCGGCCAACTTACCAAAGCCAGTGATTTGTCTCAGTTTTATACAAGAAATGTCCTAGGTGTCCCTATTTTGACTAATTTATGAGTAACCTGTAAACTTAAACTTAAAAATTAGTTTAAGTCAAAAAATATCCCTCAGATTATATACTGACCCACAAGGAAATCGAAAATGGACAATGTTACGCTCAGTTTTATTTACCTACCATCCCAAACCGGGTGTGTTCCAGTTTTGAATTTTGAAATGGTCACCCTATGAAAGGTATTAATGAGTTGTTATATTATGAGAGTTTGAAAGGCAGTACCCTGTAGTTTTCAAAGGCCTCGTTGATGGGGATGACATTGTGAGTCTTGTGGTCCCGGGACATACCACACACCAGACAAATGGGCAGCTGGTCATCCTCACAGTACAGCTTCAGCTTCTCCTCGTGCTCCTCACACATGTCCGAGCACATCCGGGGCCAGTGAGAGATGGACGAGGCCACACTGCTCATACTGGAGCCGAATTCGCGCTCCTCGGGGTATTCTAGCGCGTCTTCCGTGTCCAAGGCCGTTGGCACAGCAGAGCTGTCCATGACGCGCGCGCGGCGCACGCTGTCCACAACGTTGCACAGCAGAGAGTTGGGACGAAGTTTGCGGGCACAGGCTTTTCTACACTTGGGACAGTTGGATAGTTCTTCAGCTTTGACCTCCCAGCACTGGATGATGCACTTCTGGCAGAAGTGGTGGCCGCACTCGAGGATGACCGGGTCCCGGAACAGCTCCAGACACACGGGGCAGGTGAGCTCGGACTGGAGCTCTTCAAGCGCGCTGGCCTCCGCCATTCTCAGTAGCGAACATAGTCCCGAAAAACGAAAAATAACTCAAGTTTGAGAAGTCTGTAACTGTCAGCAGTGAGAGAGCGGGCGGGGTCTGTGTAGAGGCGGAAAAGACTGGAGGCGTGTAGCAACAAGCAGAGGCAGACCTTACACGCCCCGAGGCCAAACAGGCTTTATACGAAATGCCATGGGAATAGAACTGTGGCCATACTGAAAATAGAAAAGAGACAAGTAACATTTGAACAAAATGTTTAGACGAATACTATAGTCTCTAGTGTCTAGGGTGTAGTCTATTCTGAACAAGATGTGACACAACGCAAATATCCCATCTGGAATCAGTTTGGTTGCCTCTTCCAGAAAGCACAGTCAGTTACATCATTTCAATATCACAAATACCTTCAGCTATTTACATGATGTCCACAATAGAGACTTGCAGACAGCCTGCAGCATCTGTCTCTGTATTTTACAGTGAGCGAGGGAGTGACTCAAAATGCACTGCCAAGTGTCTTGAGGACTTATTTAATCATGTTTTAATCTGTAAGTGAATGAAACGTAGGGTACTGTAGTACCAGAAACATGGGGTATTGTATTTGTTTATGTGTAGGCCCACGATTAAAAGATGTGTGTTCTGCAACTTGTATGTATGTAGATGGATTCCTCAGAAATGTTGAAATTTTAAACTCAAAAAAAAAAAGAACATGAAAACGAGAACCCTATATGATCTTACCAATTTCACTTTAGAGCAAACTTTTAGCAAATTGAGGAGGGGGCTGTTCACCCGCCAGGCAGTGCCACTGACCGTAAAAAGGAAATGAGACACCCATGCACTTTTTGCTTAAATTGCCACAGAGGAAGTTTTGGTTTGTTTACCCCCAGAGCTCAGACTGACAGGAAATTTGCCACTCTTGTAACTTGTTCAGTCAGTCACTTCTGGTGCCTTGTGCATAATGTCTTTTGTCGTGGTCCCCTTCTCTTTTTGGACCCTAGTTCTCTTACACTGCTCTATCATTTTGGTGCATGCAGAACTGAGCCAGGACTTCTCCAAATGTCTTGAATTCTTTTACAGGGGGACCCCACCACAAGGTTTTATTGGAGCAGGACTGGAGCCAATTTGTCAGCGCTTCAGAAACCAGTACCACTTTGCCACTCTGTATCACAGAGATCATCGGGTCCCACTCTTCTCAGCCTACATCCTCAAACCTGCAAATGGCAAAAGGCCGAATGCAACATGGATGTATGAACCACAGGTCAGTATGCAAACTTTGATTAAGTATTTATTCTTCCAGGATTCGTTATGAAAGCAATGGAAAAGTTACTTTAGTAGGTAATTTGTGATAGAGTTAAAATATGAATACTCAAATATGACTGATACAAAGAAAAGAAAGTATTAGTACTGAAAAAAAGTCTACAGAATTGTATATTTCCTGAACAGTTTTTGGAATGGTCTTGATATTTAAATATATCATTCTATTCTTTAGGAAAATAATATTTTTAAATCATTATTGTTGTGTAGAAATCAATACTAATGATCATGATCATCACTAAGATAGAAGGTCTTAGTATCAAAATCAAGTTTGAAATTTTTGTATCGTGAAAACACAGATTTTTGATGGAACTTAAACCCAAATCAGTTCTCAGCTTCTCATAAAAAACATATATACATTTACATAGGTTATAAACAACTATTTGAAATCACGCTTAATTTTTACAACACAGCCAGCCATAAAGTAAATCTGTAAAAATGTGTAGTACAACTTAGTTTGGAAAAAACAAAATTATCTAGTCTAAGTAAGAAAGCTTGTGTTGTGTCTGGTTTAGTCAGAGCTATATACACTATATCATTTTGTATTCTACCTATAATATATTTCTTCATAGTTGAATTTTTCTGTTTCAAGTTGGTGTTTTCCCGTGCCAACCCTGAGATGCAATTTCTCCCCTATCCACTGACGGAAAACAACATTATAGAGAGCCAGGCTGTGCTACAGGACTACAAAAACTCCAACTATACCAAAGGGCACCTAAATCCCAGCATGCATCAGGAGACCAAAAACAACCGAATGGCCACTTTCACTTTGACTAATATAGTGCCTCAGCGGGCCGGCTCCAACTCTGGCCCATGGAGTCAGCTGGAACTAGAAATGTTAAAAAAATTTAAGAGAGGTTGTATTGGACCGATGTATGTTATTACAGGGGCACTGCCTTATAAAAATAGTCAACGCTGGGTTAATAACAGAGTTTTAATCCCAGAATACATGTGGTCAGCCTACTGTTGTCCTTCTTACAATAACAGTGTCTCTGAACGTGCACATTTCCCAACATACGCAGCAATAGGTAGGAACGACCGCCACAGTGACCAGGAGATTGTGCCCGTAAATGCACAGGTGAAGCGCTCAAAGTGGGGCTACGATGTGAGGCGCATGTCCTTAGAGGACCTGGAGGAGGTTTTGACTCAAAGAGTAGGCACGCCAGTTCATCTGTTTCAAGACCAGTGTCAACAGCAAGCTACAACAACCTCTACAATAACAGCCCAAAATGAGTTCCTTAAAATAGTGGAGGAAATGGCAAGTTAGATTTGGATCAGAACATTTGAAATCTGCAGCTCTCATGGGGTGCTCTGTATTTACAGCGGTCAGAGTAAAGTTTTATACAAGTATGAATTATTTGAGGTAGGTAGGAACAGTGTTGAACATGCCACAAGGTAGAGAAGACTGAGCAATAACTGAGATAATACTGTTCAAATATTGGTTCAAATAGGAAGGTATCTGGAATGTATATTTGGCACAATTTGTACTCGCATGTTTGAAATCACCTTATAGTTTTTATTTGTCAGTGGTATGGTGTATTAGTGTTCTTTCACTGTAAAATTAGTTTAGCTTTCACTAAGCAATGTAACTTGGTTTGATTTTAACAACAATAAATCTTTTGACATGATTACTGTTTGTTTGAGTGGTTTGTAATTTACGATTTTCTACCCAAGAGGGCGCAATGGAACCACATTCAAGTCAAGTCAAGTAAATGATGTAGACAGGTCTATACAAATAATGAACCTTTGATAAATATTTACTACATGCACTCTTCATTTTTGTAGTGTGCATCTCAGCTATGAGCTGAGTGAGCTATGGTTACTACACTGCACCAGATCATTAAAAACAAAGAGCTTCACTCTTGGCAGCTTTTATTTTGAAATGCTACTCTAATGCACAGGTGGCACCAATTAGTCCCTAAGGTCTGGATCTGACACATGAGCACAGAGGCAGAGCGAGTACTGTGGTTTGAAAGAAAGGGCATATCTAAAATACATTTCATTTTAAATATTTTAATATAAGAAAAATTACAAAAGTAATAGCCTGATTGAAGATTCAACTCTCCATGTGAAGGGATCTGAAAAAGCAAACTTTTCTTCCAGGGAAGAATCCCTGCAAACAAACCACCAATGAGAAAGGCATGGTTTTAGGTTAAAAATAAAAATTTAAAATTGGTAATACAAAAATACATATTCATAAATACTACACTTTATGACTAGGCCTAAATAGACGTAGGAAGTAAATAAATAAAAAGTAGAGAGACATCATTCCTTTAGGCTGTAATACATCTCTGTTCCCTTTTCAAGGTAAGTCATTTCCCATTTCAGCAAGTCAAAAACATTTGTGGGGAAACCATGTATTTGTGCAAGCAAAATTGAATGAAACCTTTCCAGTAGCCCTTGTCAGGAGCTCTGAGGACCATGGCGTGTGAAAGGAGCAGCTCTGGCGTGCGCAGGTGGCTGACCTTCACCACAGGCCTGCTGGAGTGTCTGTGCTTTGCAGGAGCCGTGTTTGGATGGGCTTCTCTCGTCATTGTACTCCGGAGAGAAGGATACTTTAGCTCATTGTGTGTGAACACCACATCAGTCAGAGCCACAGGACTGAACAGGACAGAAGACAGTGAGAGACTGAACTTCAGCTCTGCTGGAGTTAACAACACACATCCATTGGGTCAGTGTACTTCCACATCACATTGGGTTTAACAGATATTGTCAACTATTAAACATATTGTCTCTGGCAGAGTGCAGTGAACAAGATGAGCACTTTTCTCTTGTGTTCACCATCACATCATTTGCATCAAACTTTCTGTCCTTTCCCAGTGGGTTCCTCTTTGACTGGGTGGGCACAACAGTCGCACGGCTCTGTGCAATGTAAGTCCATTCACCTACATCAGGTAGTCTAATTTTGGCCTTTAGTTACAGATGCTTGACATAAGAGTGATGCAATCTGATGCCTGAGAATTATCAACCTCTGATAGCTCTGTCCCTAAACTCAGACACCCTCTGGTCTTTTTTATCCTTAGTTAACAGAACATAGCAATTGTCTATGTTGCATTCATTATTTTTTAAACAAAATGATGTGAAACAGTGCTAAAAAAAGGTATTCTTCTCCTTAGATGTATCTTCACTTTGGGGACATTGATGGTGGCCTTCTCAGCACCAGGTAAAAAATTTAGTATTTGAGAAGGCTTATCGTAATCATAAATATTGCTTCCTATTTGTTTGTAAAGCATCTCTGAGTGTCCAAAAGAGTGCTCTATAAATCTGATGTATTATTATTAATAAGTATCACAAATACTGTCTCAGCCCTGTCAGTGCTGCTCTTCCCTGCTCTGTCCCTGATGGGGGTCGCAGGCAGGATGTACCTCATGACCAACATGCAGGTGAGAGGCAGTTCTTATAATCTAATTCTAACAAAAACTAAAATGCACAAAACAAGGGCAAGGAGCCTAATAAGGACTACAAAATGAGACATTGTACTATAAATAATGCAATATCAATGTGTTTTTTGGTCCTATGACTCTATAGCATATGTGTTTTTGTGAAGGTGGGGAACCTGTTTGGAGCACGGCGCTCCACAGTCATCACGGTCTACACTGGAGCATTTGGGTCCTCCTCTTTGCTCTTCCTGGTCATTAAGGTGAGACCTAGGGGTGGGTAATATGACGATAAAATATAGATTGAGCTGTATTTTATATTTTGTTATTAAAAACAAATGTCTTACATACAGACATGCAGACTGTGATTAAAAAGACTTAAGCATATAATTGATTATTTGAAATGACAGACTCTTGATTAAAATGTGATTTGTAGTGAGACTTGCACAGCACTGGGTCATAATATTCAAAGCTTCACTGTTTGATTCTGTTTTGTTTTTGTAGTTGTTATATGAAGCAGGGGTCCCTCTTTACTCCTCCTTTCTGTTCCTGTCGGCCTGCAGTGCCTTTCTGGTGTTCAGGACACTCTTTCTGCTCCCTCTGAAGAGAATCCCCTACCCAGTGCCTGAACACTACACTTACGGGTAATAAAGCGCTAACTGTACTTCAGTACAATCAGTGCTGACATCACATTTTATGAACGGAAGACCACTCCGATAACGCCAACTATGAGTATTTAATATTACTGAGCTAAAACTATGGTTCCAACTGTCAATGTGGTCTTATTTCTTTTATCAGAATAATCTGTTGTAATTCAAACACTGTAATGTTGGGACAAAACGAAGCAAACAATAATTCCCACATGACACTGAGTGAAACCTCAGCTGATGACAACACATGTTTGAATGGTGAGCACAGAAAAATGATAAAATATTCAAAACTTATAAGAAAATCTGTTACAATTTTTCTTTTTTAAATTCTCAGAGTTGAGTTTCTGTCAGTGTGTGCGGTCCAGTTTCTTTTTTTGGCATTTGCTATGGTTGTCTGTGATACAGCTGAGGCATTATCTGTTCATTGGCACACTAAACCCAATGCTGCAGAGGCTCAGTGAACATGATCAGTCTGTCGGTATGAAGCATTACTTAAATTTCTATAGTATGTATAGTTAATTTGTATGCATTACTGCTATTTACTTGTTGCAGTGAGCCAATATAGCAATGCGTTTGCCGTCACTCAGTTGTGTGGTGTCCTATGTGCTCCCTGGAACGGCCTGATCATGGACAGATACCGCGCTAAACTAAAATCAGCTGGTAATGTCAAATTATTTTTTTCATAGAACAAAATGATGGCTAAAGATGCACTGTGTAACTTTTCTGGTGGAGAGTCAGTCATCTGTGAATGCTTCAGAGTATGGTAGGGCTGGGAATCATATTGTCCCTAATGATTCAATACAATACACGATATATAGTTCACGATACGATACTATCACAACATGCATCGATAATCGATATATTGCACATCACACTCTGGTATATTGCTGTTTTTTAAGAACTGAATACATTTTAGCAAAATATTTTTGTTAAACCACTACTCGTATTTCATCTTAACTGTGCATGTCTATTTTAATGATCAAAACACTGAATATATATGTGTATTGCATTAACAATTTCCCTTTCACTAAAAAAAAAAAGTGTTCTTTTACTAATGTTAACTTGTCCATTACTTGATTTTATGTTATTTATTTTAGTTACTACTATTATTTTTTATTTATAACTATAGGCATTACTACTTGGATTTTGTGTGTGTGTAAGGGATGTTGTGGGGAAGTGCAGTACTTTTTTTATTTTTTATTTATTTTATTAAAGGGGATAATGAAAACCAAAATAAATACACTGATGGAAAAAAAAAAATTGAAACGCCCCTTTTTGAAGCCAGAAATTGTATCTTTTGTGTGTACAGGACTTGGAGAATGTGAAGCAGACCTGCGTGCTGCGATGCTTTCTCTCACCCTGACGTCTCTGTTCTGTGTGCTGTTCTCAGTTTGTGCCATGATCCCTGTTTTGCAGCTTCAGTACTTCACCTTTTTCCTGCAGGTTTTGAACAGAGCTTTTTACACTGGCAGTGATGCAGCCTTCATCCATGTCATGTGAGTACACTTAAAGGTCCTATATTACTCAGAATCGACTTAGCTTTAAGACATGTTATGATGATGTTCCCTCCTCAAAAACATACCTCGAGTTGTTTTGTTTCATTCACACGTGTTTGAGTAATCCTGGTTTATTAGTCTGTCTACATGACAGACTAACACAGACGACACATAATGCTCTGTTCCACTTTGTGATCTCATAAAGCTGTAGATTAAAGTTAACAGTTACCTTCTACCTTTTTTCAGTAGGGATGAACAATTCCAGGCCTGAAATCATCCAAATGATTCTAGTATAGTAGTGTATGAAGTGCTTCCTGTACTACCACATGACATCACAAGGTGGAACAAAGTGTTTTCTGTTTGAGAGATGAATTGCCTAAATATGCAGGATTTGTGTGTTGAACATCTGTGAATGAAAAAAGTACAACTGCAGGTATGTTTGTGATGAGAAAATATTCAGGCGGTCTGGCAACAGTTTATCACTGTTCTATATCAGTATGCCGTGAGCATCACCACAGCAGCAGGTAAACAAATTAAGTATTGTTCCAGAAATAATTAATGCTTGAACACCCACAGACAGCCAAAAGGTTGTCACATTTCAACTATTTTCAGTTAGTGGGACCATGGTATAAGCAAATTTAACGACTGAGCAGTGCACTACACTGTTTTAATGCACACTGCAAAGGAACACCTAGGCTTCAAGACTCTACGCGAGTGTTGTTTAAGCCTTACTTATTTTCTTTCCTCTTTTCAGTTTCCCGTCATGTCACTTTGGTAAACTGTATGGCCTTATCAAAGGTCTGTCAGCACTTCTGTCTCTGCTGCAGTACCCCTGTTTTATTCTGGTGGAGGACATCCTGAATGGGGACCCCTTATATGCAAGTACATCTCATAGAATGGTCTTTAACATATATTACCTTATTGTTTGTATGACTTACATTTTCATTTGCAGGTCAACATTGGTCTCACAGTACTCGTCCTGGTGATCTTCATCCATCCTGTGTCTGTGTACATCTACTGTCAAAGAATTGCTTTAAAACAAACGCTAAGAAAAGTCAACATTGTTTCATGTTAGTCACAAATGAAGTCTGTATGCTTATGTAACACTGTAACCACAGTAAATGCTACAAAATGATCAAATTTAGTGGATTATTTGTATTGATTACAAAATACAGCTATAATTATGTCAGGTCAAATTTATTAGCATAGTCCATTATCACACCTTGATCAGCTTCTAGAAAAAAGTATTTGTATAGAAAATAAAACAATGAATAAAAATAGAACAACTGAGTGCATACTGGAAAATGTTAAACATAACACTAAAGCATAGCTGACACTCTTAAGAGTGAGAACAGTAGTGTATGTCCTCCAAAGGTTTGTAGTTAAGTTTGTACAATCTGAAATGAACAAACAACAAACTGCTTACACGTTATTAAATAAATCACAACAGATAAACTTGGACTAGAAAAATTCAGATTTTTGAATGGTTATTTATAGAATATTTAATTTTACCTCAGCATTATGTGCTACTTTAAAAACCAGACGACCTCTAGTTATGGGTAAATTATAAAATTCTTACAAAGCACAGTTTAAAAAGCATAGCAAAACAAAATACCAATAATTCTGATTCTCTACCAAAAGAGATACCCCATGATCTATGTATGTGAACTATTATGGTGTTGTAATATACATCACGTTTTTGTCACTTTCGTAATCTACCTCAACTATCACATGAGTTTAAGTTCTTCAACAATTTTGTCTAAAAACATTGGTGGTTTTTCAGTTCCTCCACATCTCCAAAGCCCCGTCCACAGGTTGAGCACTGGAGTGTAGGCCTCTCATTGCTGTGAATGAGCTGATGCCTTTTTAAATACTCTACACGACTGAATTTCTTCCCACATGCTTCGCACCCATACGGCCGTTCGCCTGTGTGGATGCGCTGGTGTCGCTCCAAGTTTCCTAAGCGACTGAAGCTGCGTCCGCACTGAGGGCAACGGTGAGGCCGCTCCCCAGTGTGCACCAGATGGTGGCGCTCTAGAGAGCGTGAGTGTGTGAAGCGCTTCCCACAGATCTCACAGGCATGAGGCCGCTCCGTAGCTTGGGAACACTCATGAGTCTTTAGGGCCCAGGCGTGGTTAAAAGAGTTTCCACATGACCCACAATGGAAGCCAGAATGCTCATCTGAGGGGCTTTCTATTGGAGCGCCACCTAGTGGACAGGGGTGTTCGTCCAGCTCCTGCTCTGAGTTAAAGCCGCCTCCACACTGTGGACAGAAGTGAAGCAGATCTCCAGTAATGCTTTCAGCGCCCCCGCACTCGCCCACACTGGCAGGAGCAGAGAGATGCGGAGGAAGCTCTGACTGTTCCTGCTCACTCGCACTGTCTTCAGCCATAACGTCTGTGGGATGGACATCTCTTACCCACCCAGACGCCCCCTCCTCAGCCTCTGCCTCTCCACCACCAAGCTCCACCTTCACCCGAATCTGGCTGAAATGGTCCTCCCTCTGAAGAGTGGGTGGCTCAAGGTCCAGCTCCTCCTCTTGCTCCAGGCCGTCTAACCCAATGTATTTGGGTGCAGCATTGCTGTGTTTGGGGTCAGGACTCATCATGTGTGAGGGCTTCATCGCAGCCTGTTCGCGACTCTTCTCAGCTCTCAGGGCAGACTCCAGACCTCTGAGCTCGTCTGCTGTCATCCCTCCTACAGAGCGTTCAGAGTTCAAAGGTCGACTGGGCATATCTCCTAAAAACACAAGAAGAATCCAATGTAAGTAAGTATCATTCATCTAATTCTAATCAATTAAATGCAAGGTTACCTTCACATTCGGATGTGTGATGGTTCTGTGTGGGTGGGTCCATTTTCAGAGCCTCTTTAATAAGCCGAATGGAGGCAGGCTGAAAACCCTCTGCTGCAGCCAGCTGAAGAGAGATGTTAATTAAATTAAAGAAAATATCTTAAAATGCAGAGAGTAATACACTGCAGTTACACAACATTGACTAATATATTCTCACATGCCATGTTTGTCATTTAATATCAACAATGGTTTTGAGTAAAACTTAATTGAGAGTATTTCTTTGTTACAAGACTGAAAACTACTGCAGATTCAATGATATGTTTCATTCCATCTGCATTGAGCTTGTTGCTCAGCGCTGCAGTTCTGCTCTGGCATGTTCTCCTCCTACAGCTCCTCTGAGAAGCCTGTGTAGTGCTCACCTCCCCTTTGATGTCGGCTGTCTCCTCCCCCTCTCCGCTCAGGCTGCCTTCGTCGTCCTCCTCCTCCTCCACGACTCCTTCCTCTTCCTCTCCAGGGAGCTGCACCAGGAACATCTCCCTGGCCTCGTTCCCCGCTCTCACCACTGCACCTCCGCTTCCACCCCCACTGCTGCCCGCCTCCCACACGCCTCCAGGCCAGTTTTTGCCATAGGCTGCTGCAACGCCCTTTTTTGACTTGCCTCCTGTGGAGAAAAGCAGATGAAAGAAAGGTATAAGAAACTTATATCCCAAGTGTATAAAGGTTTGCTGTACTTCGGGGGGAGATGACAAAAAATGTAAATCACAAAAAACAAAATCCATTCAAATCACTATTTTCAACTCTTATTTTATTACATGTAAACACAAATTTAAAACATATGAACTGTATTTCAATATTAATTTCCTGAACATGAACAATAAATGTTAATCATTGTAAAATAAAACTAAACCACTACAAACCTAACATTAACCAAATCACTATAGTGAAAGATGAAAACAGAAAACAATAAAATAAAATATTAACAATTAATTTCATTGTTCTTAATTGATTTTAAAAGAGCACACTGATATTTACTTAGGGAGCCTTAAGGTATCAAGGATAAAGAGGGGAGAAAGGACAAGGAGAGTTGAGACTGGAACACGTGACAGGGAGGACATTTTACGGAGCAAGTAGGAGTAGGAGCTGAGTGCAACGTGATTGGGAGGAGATTTGAGAGGAGCAGAAGGGAGGGAGGGCGCGGGGGAGGGAGAGGAGCCAAGCAGGAAGGGAGGGAGGGAGTGGGGGAGGGAGAGGAGCCAAGCAGAGAGGAGCCAAGCAGGAAGGGAGGGAGAAGATGGGGGAGGGCCCAGAGGAGTGGACTAATGTAGCAGGAGGCCAAGGACAGAGGGAGCAGAATGAGGAGGAGACAGATGGCTCCTAGCCAAATGAATACAATAAAGAGAGGACAAAAATCAGAAACCTTTGTTTATAAAATGCACAACAGAAATCAAATTTATAAGAAAGTGATAACTGAATACATAAAATAATATTTGTATATATTAATGAGGATTAAATAATTGGGATGATATGTGAGAGAATCTATTGTCAATATGTGGTTTACCTGGTGTAATAAAAAATGATTCCCCAGCTATGATCTAGGCTGATCAAAATACTTACTGACTAGTTCAGCCTTGCGCTTTTGTCGAGTTGTAGCTCCGTCAGATGCCAGCCCAGAGGTGCGGCGATGGGCAGCCCAGCTCATCCCAAATTTACGCTCATTTCTCAGTTTGTTCTCAGTCAATTTTAATCTCAATTTTAGAGCCTCGTTCTCATTCCTGTTTAGAGACAGTTCCACCAGGTAGTCGTTTACAGTGTCCTGGAAGAGTTTGGTGATTTCACACACTGATGCACGGATGAGACTGTCCATCACTGCAGTGAGGTGGGTCTCAAAGGCAGTCACCGTTTCCTCCATCATCTTCATTACAGCCATAAAACAGCAGACCTGAAACAAAACAAAACAAAAAAAACAATAAGAACTATTATTTTAGCGGATGAAAAGTGCATAGTTTATTTGGTGACCAAATCACGTTGTTAGAAGGGCAAATAAAAGTAGATTCATAAAGCAGTGAAAATGACCATACCATGATCATGAATACTGTTAGTTCTAGTTAGTAAAGTTTTAGTAGTTTGCCAATTGTCCCCACTTCCATTTATTTACCCTTGCAGGTCCCGACAACATACACTGGGTTAAAAGACAACAATTTGGCTGGATTAGCTAGATGAATAGATCATTATTTCACAAAAATATAGATTACATCGTTGTTAAACAAAATTTCACATACCAACACTGCAAAGTTAGCAATAATTATTGATCGTGTGGCAGTGGTGTTGAAGTAGGAGACGAGACACTATCATACATCCTCTTTCATGTTGGGAAGTGGTCGAGCTAGCTGCCGTGCTAACACTATTACTCACCGCTTAGAAGGACAAATTGAAGATGCACCCACAATATAACGATCCGATAGTTGATACAAGACTTAGAAAAAGCCTGTACGCTGTTTGAAGAGGTAAAGTCCCCTCGACAATGGAAACTTCTCCGCTCTCTCTTCCCAAATCCAACACTGTTTTCCTTCTCGCCTCTCTAAGCTCGCGGATGCGCTTGAGAGCTCTGCGCATGCTCAGTTTCCTAGTCACTCACAGGCTGACTTGTCCACACAACCCACCCATAGACCCAACCACGGATATGTGGAGAAAAAGGTTCAGACCACTCACGACGAGGATCTCAACCTTTTTCATTCCAGTTTTATAGTAGTTAATTGTTAACTATTGAAGATTGAAGTCTACTTGTCTATTGAATACTACTCTACATGTTTCAGATGATTAAGGAACCAAAGATGGATTCATCCATATCTTATTCATAACCATAGACTGTATAGTGTATGTTAATAGCCCTTAATTATTGAATATAGTAATAGTGGAACAGTGAATGAAAGTGTTATGTTGTTTTGTAAGTGCTGCTGAAACTCAGCATTTTTAAATATAAGAGATTTTAAAAACATGTTATCTAAAATATTATAATAATATTATAACAGTTTGTGCTCTCTTTAAGTCAGTTATTTAGACCTAAATGGCTATGTTTTGAATATACCACATATTAGTGGGATTGTAATTGTATTGTCAAATAAAGACTGAAAGTTTGTCAAGAAAATGCTAGCACATTTCTGTGGACAGCAGGGGGCAGTAATACAGTAGTAGGCTATATTGCGCCTGGTCTGCTTTTTACAGTAGAAGTAGACTGGGCAGTAGCTCTGAAGCTCTAGGGGCTCTTGATCTGTCACTTATCTGTCGCTTCTAAAAATCAAATCTCTCGAAAAGCAGGAATCATGCCGATGTTTATTGTCAACACAAATGTAGCCGGAAGTGAGGTGACTGATACCTTTCTCTCAGAGGCAACCCAAGAGCTGGCCAAAGAGATGAGTAAACCTGTACAGGTAGTCTCCTTTTTGAAACTGTTTAACACGCATAATCTATGGTGGTTCACAGCGCTTATTTGCATACAGAAATTTTATATAAGGTTTTACATATTGTCTACATATGGTGTGTTATTTGATTTACACATAAAATCTATCCCGTAGCCGTAATCTGCTAAAACAAATAAAATCCGTTGCAATCTATTGCATAACGTTGAACTGAATTGGATTTCTGTGTATTTTTCTTTTAGTCTACAGTTCTAGTGTTCTTGCATAATATTTAGGATAATATTTAGGCTATATAATGAAGATTATTTTGCTTTTGCTTTTTTTTTTTTTTTTCCAATAATCCAGCATGATATCAATAGTTGTACTATTAGCCTACTTTTGTGCATTTTAATATTGATTCTAATTTGTCCTGCATTCTGTTCAGTACATTGCTGTGCAAGTCAACCCTGACCAAAAGATGATGTTTGGAAACAAGGGAGATCCTTGTGCTCTCTGCTCACTCACCAGCATTGGACAAATCAGTGGTGCCCAAAACAAGAAATACTCCAAACTTCTATGTGGGCTGCTCAACAAACACCTGGGGATCCCTGCTGAGAGGTGAGGAAGCCACAAAAGCTGAAACTATAGTAATTTACAATAGTGATTAGGTCCATACTACACACAATTACATTCATTAATATCCCCTCCTTTTTCTTTTAGGATTTATATCAACTTTGTAGATATGGATGCAGTTAATGTGGGCTGGAACAACAAAACCTTCTGATAAGATAAGAATCAAGACAGAAAATATCATTCCAGTTTTGTATTATACTTCATACTGCTTATAGTGCATGTTGGCTTAAGAGAGTGTCTCATGAACTGTTTAGAAATAAGAAATTGGAACTAGAAAAGTACTTGAAGTTGAACTGCAATTAATAAAACCCTGTAATCTAAATGTGTGTTGTTTTATTTGCAATATCATTCACATTCACTGACTCAGAGTGGATTTGGGAGATATAATGCAAATTATGTGTATTTTTTTGGTAGGAATGTGCAGTGATCAAATTCAGATATACTTAAAATCGACTGGATTTAAAATTTTTAAGTGCCATGTACATTTTTGAAGTTTAAACACTGAATGGGGTTGGAGGAGAAACATTTTGTGTCTAAAGGTGGCGGTAATGAGAAGTGATTAAATTTAAGATACGTCACATCCGCATTAGCATATATGAGTCTAGAGCATGGATACTATGTTGCCATCCAGTTCCAGTGATACAGCTATCAGACGCCAATAAGTAAGTATTCATTATGCTTTGCTTTGATGCTATTAAAATGCTATAATACTACTTATAATTTATGTTAATTTCCTAAACCAGTACAGTGCAGATGTTTGGTTATGTAAGTATTAAGAGACAGTAAGAGTTTTATCAAGTTGTAAGACCCAAAAATATGAGTGTAACTTAATTTTAGTTTAGTTTAGTTAGGTTTTTTTTTCTATTCTGTGAAATGTTTGAGGTTTGGTTACTGGCTTACATGCCTCTTAAAATTTTCCTCTTCGTACAATTACAAGATGGCCGCCGCGTTCTTCACAACTTCCACGACATCTCTAGGATTTTTTTTGTCACCAACCCGCCTCATCTACGCGTTTCCCTCTTTTTCGGTTGGGTCAAATATGGCCGAACGCAACTGACTGTTTTGATGTTCAATGATGTCTAATTTAACAACCTAATTTTGTTGATCTAGAGGTAAAGTGTAAAGTCATGATGTACTGTTGCGTGGTATGAGGTGTGCAGCTTTCCGTAAACGTGAGTAATTGAACTGGTGTTATTTGTTTAGTGTTTATTTTGCAGTAGCGTCACCGCGGACTTGTGTTCTTTGCACCACACAACAGGAAGTTTGTCTGTTGACTGCAGCGCACAGTCTAAGTAGCACTCACTGAATTACGGAGCTTTTTCTTCTCATACCTCCTGTTCTGTTTAGAAAAAATGCTGTAGACCTCTGGTGCTAATTAGACCGTATATATTTTAAAACATTTTTCGCTATCGTAATTTGGAACCAATGGAGGCCGAATAAGATGCTAAACAGCGTTAAACCAAAACAATTCTGACACTAATGTGATGAATGTATTTACCAGTAGTGACTGACCCTGCATCTTATTGTCTTTATTCACTGCTCTTTTGTTTAACTTTTAATCTTGTTTTTGCTAATATGCGTGTCTATTGACGGTTTGCACGTCTGACCAGTAACGTTCAATTCTCTTAAAGGCTCTTTGTTACGCATATTATATATACTTTGCAGTGACATCACGCTGGAGGTGTTCTTTATGTATGTCTATGGTGGAATGTTCAGCAATTACCATGCAGACACAATACATGCATTAGCACACACAACCAAAACGTTTTAAGATTATCTCAGAGCTCGAGAAAAATACAAAATGGATTTATACAACACATTTTTAGGAGCTTGTGATCAATACGAGCTTTCATGGTCATGTTTAGGTGTCTGATTTTCAATGAAAAAGTGAGCGTGACTGAAAAACAAATACTAGTGTAGAGTAGTGCCTACAGTTGGCATCACACCCTCAGGGAATGTTGATGACATCAGCTGTAAGGTATCAGTGTGTATGCCATTATAACTTTAATGTCAAATTTGTTTTTTATAGAATAAATCAGCATCGTTTGCAGCCTGTGATGACAGACTGTCTGTCCAGGGCACGCAGGCTCCAACTAACCCCACAGCCATAGAGAACCTGATGAGGACTGCAGTGTTGGAGATCTCTCAGATCTTTGAGGACAGCTTACATGATCATCAGGTTGAGCTTGCACATAAAGGAGAAGAAATCGCTCATCTCAAAGTGAAGCTGCAGCGAGCTGAGTTTAAGCTCAAAAACATGTCAGTGAAAAGTGAAACCAACATGAGCATTACACAAATTTATGAAACTTCAAAAGAATCTGAAGAAAGTGCTCATGAAGAATCAGCTGTCTCTGAAATTGATTTTCGAGGTATATTTCCACAGCAGATTGTATTATTTTTGTGTTTTTGTTCTTCCAGCCAATGGTTTTAGTTGTTCCATAACAATATAAAAAGATTTTCTCTTCTTTGTATGCTTGTGCAGTACCTGATGACTGGTGTGTCCCACTGAGCTTTGAGAATGTGGACCAACAGGAGATTCCTTGTCCCAGTGTTCGGCTGAAGCAGTTTTCTATTCCTCTGTCGCCCATTCCATTAAAGCATGAGGTAATGTTTTTATACACATACTGTGCACTATGTGTGTGCTTCTACAGACTGTATGACTTATGGTTTTATGGCTTTTCAGAAGATCACAAAACCAAGGCTTAGACCACGTCAAAACAGGGATAAAAAAGGTTTGTGCTTAAAAATGTTTTTAGAATTAATGCTGTAAGAGATTTGCTTTAATTTGGTATGGCCAATTCACCATTATCTCTTGTGGATTTTTACTGCTACAGTTTTGTTCTATTGAAGTTTCGCTGTACAATAAAATCTAATCTAAAATCTAATGATGATGCAGTAATATAGTTCTATAATGTTTTATGTGTTTCTACATGTGCAGATTCACATGGAAAAATCAAGCCCAAAGGTCCAAGAAAGCGAGGCCAACCAAGGATTCGTCCGCTGGAAAATGACATAATAAAAGTTGAGGTAGTCGATATTAAAGAAGAACCCTTTGACTATGAAGTAAAGCCACCCATACAAAGAAAGGGCCTGTCAGGAAAAGTACAGAAAACTCACAAACACAGAAAGAGACACAGAACGCAGGACAGTACTACAGGACAAATGTACCACTGCAGGTTCTGTCCAAAGGTCTTTGACACAGCATTCGGCCTCCGTGTTCATGATCGGGCACACAAGAAATGCATAGCTTGCAAAAAAGTCTTTCCTTTCCCAAGTGTTCTTAAGCAACATGAGGGCAGATGTAAATATTACAAGGAATTAATGAGGTTATCCAATCCACTGCCTAAAAATAGTGGAAAACCCCCAAGTATCAAACAAATTTCTGAAAAAGGCAACACATCACTTGTTAGAAGGATTATCAAACAATTGACTTGTAAAAAATGCCTGAAAAGGTTTACTTCACGTTCACTACTTTTGAAGCATTCTTGTAATTTTGCCTGCCCAGTTTGCTCAGAAATGTTTACCAGCCAAATGAATCTAAAGGTGCATACAAAAAAAATGCACAACAATTCCACAGACAATGGATTAGAACAATCTTGGGCCCAACCCTTGGATGAGACTGAGGGCAATCAAGGTTTATCTTCATGTGAAATCTACATAAGAAAATGCTCAGGTGGGTTTCAATGCGTTATTTGTAAGAAGGTCTGTGTAACAAAATGCAATGCTGTGGACCATTATTATTCACACACTGGGGAAAAGCCATACACATGTGATGTATGTTCTAAAAAATTTTCTAAAACATCTGCTCTGAACCACCACAGTATTACTACTCATGGTATGCATATCAAAACGCACAAGTTGATGTGCCCCACTGCTATTGCTCAGTAAACTGGAAACTGGCTTAACTGTACTGCGCTGCTAGACACCTTACATTTGATGTCATATGTCGTAAATGACAAGTTTTACTGAATTTTAAACCAAATATTGATTGTATGTTGTAGTTATCTCTGCTTGGATTTTAATCTGTATACAATTATTCAATTATCATTCAAGTATTGTAATGTAATTTCAACCAAATAAAAGCTTCTATGTTCTTTACAGCTGTCTGTTTTTAGCGTAATGCGTGGTCTTATCGCGAGATTTTGCGCCGTCGTCATCGGAGGATCTAGCCATAACATTTAGCTGGGTACCAAATGTCTTAAGTCTGTACATTTTGAGTATCTGATGTATATATTAAGTAAACAGGTTGATTATTAGTTTCTGTTGAACGTGTCTTGTTAATAGTTCACCTACAGATGTCTTTGATGCGATTTCGTTAAAGATGGGAATGGCATCGTAGCATCGGATACAATTTACATGGATTATGTTTAAAACTTAATCTTGGTCCAGACTATATCAAAATGGAGATTGTTAAAAGTGTTTTCAATGCACAGTTGGCATCTGTCATGGATACTCTGCTTGCAAATGCAGTGCATGAGATAGCGAAGATCTTTGAAAGCAGCCTGAGCCAACACCAGGCGGAGCTATTGGAGAAGACAAATGAAATCACCATCCTTCGAGGAGAGCTGGAGAAAGTTCAGAGAAAATGTACAGAGGAGCCAACATCAGAGCGTGGACTATGCGTGAAACAAGAGCCAAGCACCGTGGATTTTTCAGGTAGGCGAAATATAACTCTTATAACTCGTGTGTCGTGTCAGTTTTGGTGTCCGATTTTCTCTGTTTTGTGTACAGATGAAGACCATGGACTCTATCTGAATTTAAGTGGAATAAAGACAGAGTCTCAGGAGTCCCCTGGTCGCGAAGAAGCTGGTGAATCCAAACTTGAAGTAATTTGTTTATTTTTTATTTTTTTAGTTCTGTCCTGCTTATTCTAGCACAATTCTGTCAAACTTAATATAATATTTATTCCTGTATGTATTTTTTTAGCCAATATATGTAGATTGTTGCTCAAAAGAATATGGGTATTTTTCCAGCAATATGGGTCACAATGCTTGGCGTCTGCTACAATACAAGTGTTAGAAATGGAACTGAATCAACAAATGAAGATGTTCTCTCCAGCTCAATGCAAGGATGAAGGTAATAGCCAAATAATTTATTGACATTTTATTGAATAAAATAATATTAATAATATTTTAATTTATATTTATATTAACTGCAAATGTTTTGTCATTACAGTGCCTGATAGGGACGAAAGTATTCATACTGCAGCACAACTAAATGCAGAAGAGGCCTCTTCTCTTTTGTCCATATCACCAAAGGTATGTTCTGACACAAGACAGACAGAGGGCTGGGTCCCAGGGCTTAGCTCCACCCAGAACTCTACAGTGGAAAACTATAAGGCAAATGAATCTAACTGCCCTGGTCCAATGAAGAGAAACACTGTATTTGGGCTTGATGAAACATGTTTAGAAGACAATTATGCAACTTTTCTGGAACACAAGTCTGCAAATCTGACATCCAGTCATCAAATTGCTCAATCAGCGCAAAGATCAGACAATGAACTGACTTCTCACACCAAACAAGGTCCAACATTTGGATCTAGGGACCGACCACAGTCTAACTTTCATACATTTGCACTGCGAAACATGGAGTTACAGTCTTTAACCCATCGTCCATCAGCCAGTTTAGTGAACAGACGCCCATACACCTGCCCTTACTGTGGAAAGTTTTTTACATACCCTTCACATCAGCGACAACACCTCCTCTGTCACACAGGGGTCCGGCTGCCCTTGTGCCAGTTCTGTGAGAAGCGATTTCTGACCCAGTCGGAGCTCACGGCCCACACTTGTACATACAAAGGGGAGAGACCCTTCGGCTGTGGCCAGTGTGGGAGACATTTTGCCCGAAGCAGAAATCTGAGAGCCCACCAGAGGAACGTGCACCTGGGCAAGAGGCCGTTTACCTGCACCGAATGTGGGCAAAGGTTCGCACACAAGGGCAACCTGCGAGTTCATAAACACAGAGTTCACAATGGATTACATCTGCAACAGACTCAAATAGGCTCTGATACTGTTTAATGGTCTTTACTTAAATTGCTTGTTTTATTTAACGCATTTTTTCATTATGGAGTTTTGATGTAGGCCCATCTTGAGAATTATTATTATTGTGGTATATCAGTGTAGAAATCTGATTAAAAATGTTAATGTATAGTCAGTTATTGCTAGTATTAAACTATTTTACAGAATATTTGTCGTAACTAAGTATCAGTGTTGTTTTCACTTCTTCCAGTTAAGTAAGAAGAATAGGTTTATTAAAAATAGAGTGGTACATTTGTTTAATAACACATAATAGACCAATTTGCTTTAAGATTTCTTCTCAAATTATTTAAAATTGCTCAATATTGTCGAAAGTATTTTTTTTTTGTCAGTCCTCTAATGTGACAAATGCAAATAAAGAATTGGTATAGTGTTGTTGCAATGTTGTTGCTTAGCCAGCAGGGGGAACTGTCAACTTAAACGTGATAAAGAAGTGACTGCACGTCTGCATACCATGTTGTGAATAGCTTTCTCACAATAATAATAATGACAATTATAATGACTTCTTGTTTCAGTTGGCCTCAATGTACAAATGTTTAACCAGTCGTTCACCAGATAATTTAACTCTCATTTTCCTCATCCTTTATTCTTTTACAGTGTATGTTTGTGATGATTAATAGTACTTTGGTCTAATACATAAACTTCCTTTTGTACATCATAAATGCTGAGTGAAGCATATTAATATATTCCCTTGGCTGCTGAGCACTTATTTTGGATCATTTGAACATTACCCACAGTGACGTGTTGCGCTGACCTCCCCCTCCCCCCAAAGGTCACCTGTATCCACCACCTGGGGATTATTTTCTATTTTTAGTTCTTGTCATATTTAGAAAAGTAAAAAATAAACCAGATAACCAATGCTTGTATAAAGGTGAATGAAGATCGTTTGTGTTAAGTTCACGTGTATCATGGTTTGGCAGGCAAATCATACAAGTATTATTGATGAGAAAGGGCAGTGGAGTTAATTAAGTAAGCTGCAGTCAGTGCCTAATTTAAGTACAGTGATGGGTCAGACAGGGTCACAAATTTTGGAGTCTAACCAATAGGGTGCACACTATAAAATAACTGAATACAATTCTTTCCAGTCTTTACTGTTTGTATATTTTGTGTAATCTCCTTTTATACCATAAGCTTCTTTTCCTGAGAAAGTACAAGTGAGCAGTTGACCACACTGTAATGTCTGTGTATGTGTATACAGACGGTATTTATGGTTTACTTGATAGTAGCACAACATTAAGTAAGCTCACCATGGTTTATCATTATCCCATGGACATGTGATATATTATGATGAAGCAGGAAGTGATTTGATCTGAACATAGGTTGAATATACTTTTTTTTTATTATTATTATTTAAAAATGTTTTCTCTTTATATCTACAGTTTAATATATGTAAACTGCAGCTACTAAGGACTGAAAATAACACATAGCCTGCTGGATTTCAAAACAATTTAGAAAATCTTTATAAATACAATATAGATTTGAAATGACTGTCATTTTCTGTTGCTGGTATGTTTAAGTACACACCTGTGAGATTCAGTGCCTTTGCAAAGGCAACAGGGGTTCAGTATAGTCCCATGGTTAATGTATACAGACCCGCTTTCTCCAGAGACTGTGGTTAAATGCATTTTTCCATTACTGTGTGGCACCCCCATCCGTTGTAAAGTGATTATAGCAGTCCACTCGGAAGAGTTGATCAATGCTCCTTTGACTAGTTAACCTTCCTCTTGTGTTAGGGTCGCCACTGACCCGTTTTAGGTTTAAAATGTATAAAAGAACCACACAGGGTTAGTTTATTGCATCAAGGCTTTTTGACTTTGTCAGGAATCTCTATTTCAACAAAATAACTCTGCTCTGGTTAAAAATATACCCTTTGTGGTGTTAGGGTCGGTTTCGACCTGGTTATAAAAATTAGATTAAAAAGCAATAATTACCAGCTCCTCTTCCAATAATTTGAGCTTTGGGGGAGTCTCATTTTGTTTTGTTTTCCTGTTTACCTGCACAAACACAGGCAGTGCTGGGAGTGGCATCCCTGAGAAAAAAACAAGGAAAACGTGTGGTCCTTGATATGAATACTGGACTGCAGGGTCACAATATCACTTGTGACAACTTTTTTACCAGCTATGACCTTGGACAAGAGGTTCTTAGGAGGAAACTTACCATAGTGGGCATGGTAAAGAAAAATAAACCTAAGCTGCCTGCTGAAATCTCGCAGGTGAAAGGCAGGGCTTCGGTTTCCTCAAGATTTACTTTTACAGACACCACCAGTGTTGTCTCCTATTGTCCAAAGAAAATACTGAGTGTGGTACTTTTGTCTACTCTCCAAAAAGATGCAGCCGTGTCATCAGGAAAGCCCACAATTATCCTCGACTATAACAAAAACAAAGGCGGATTGGACAACCTGGACAAGCTGACTGTCACCTATACTTGCCAGCGAATGACCAGAAGATGGCCATGGTTGTGTTCAACAACATGGTTGATGCATCTGCATATAATACCTTTGTGTTGTGGACCCACATCGATCAAGGGTGGAACTCAAACAAAAAATACAAGCAGAGAATTTTTCTTGAGGACCTGGGAAATTCAGGGCGCATGCTGAGCAAAGAGAGAGGGTGTCCTGAGATCCAGAAGGCCTTAAGGCCTTGGTCAGACAACTGTGGAGCTCCCCTAGCTCCATCCACGCCACAAAGACCATCCACACCAGTGTCCTCCTCAGCCAGCCGTGCCTCAACACCAGTCACAACGACCACAGCCACAACCCCACTCAATTCACCTGACTGTAAAAGGAAAAGGTGTCAGGTTTACCCAAGTAGTAATAGCAGTTGATAATGAAGTTCAATTGTAAAAAAACCCAAAAACTTTTTAGCCTCTTTCTCATTGTAAATATATATGAGTCGAAATCGACCCGTAACACCTTAGATGTTTCTATAGTTAAGAACATCAAAATGAAAAAAAAATTTTAAAAAATTATTTTAGAGATGTGTTCTAATACCCCTCAGTAAAAGTCAAGTAACACTAAAAAACTTGTATGTAGTTAAATTCTCTTGAGGTTCATTTTACCATTTTCTTTGTTTTGAAATAGAGGGGTATACTGACAAAAATAGGAGCTGAAGCCCCCACCAAGGACATTAAAACCAACATTTTCATGGAAAAAGAAGCCTAACAAGGTAACCAAGAGACGAAACAAATTTGATGATAGATACTTACTTTAAGTGTATTTTACAGCTGATTTAGAACACGGGTCAAAACCGACCTGTTAACACAATAGATGGTGATGGAAAGCTAACACAAGAGGAAGGTTAAGCACTTAAAGGTAACTACTTTTAGGCACAGTAAAGCTTTCACATTTTAAATAAATTAGAATACACTTTTATTGTCACAAGGCAACAAAATTATGCAAAGTCAGGAATGTAATAAGCAGCACGTGCACTCTAGGCAAACATAATTGACAAAATGCACAGATGAATGTAGTTTTCATCAGCCCTTGCACACACCAGTTACAGTATTGTGTCTGGTTGTGACTGGAAGGGCATCTGGTTTAATAATCTGTCAGTTCACACTGCAACTGGTTCAGTTATAGTTGGAAAAGTAGCCTATAGATACAAACAAGTATGTATGTAGCTGAAAGGAAATAATAAGGAGCAAGTGGCTGGAAACATGTAGGCCTGGTAACTGAGATCATTAAATAAGATATTTAAATTTAACAAAGAAGAAAGAAATTTTAGTTCAGATGCTATAGAGAACATCCATAATGTAAAGTTCCCACAAGGCTTTTCCAGGTGTCTTGTTTGTGTGTGCTCAGACAAGTGCATGTTCACCATTGGGCTGCCCTGGTTACTATGGTGATGGTGTCTGCGCAGTGGAGTGGGGGTTGGAGAGGATTCGTGCACCACGAGCGTCAGGCATGCACCAGGTCAGGTCCCAAACAGCGTCTGCACGAATCTGATTGGACACATGATGGACGATTAGTAGAGGACTCATCCGCCTATTTACACACAGTTTATTCCAAGCTTCTTTAGCAAAAATATCAGCCTATAGTGCACTAAAATATATATAATACAGTTTAGTATATAGTTTTTTTGCTTTTTATAGACCTGTAGTTTAGACCTTGTCAGACATGTTTTGGAGTGCATGCAATACTTGCATTAGTTGCATAATTCATTCACTTCATATTTCATTCTTCTCTCAAGTATTAATGCTCCCAGAGTTGTTTACAATTTGTACTCTAAACAGAATTCTACTTATTCATTTATAAACATATATCTCAAATCTAATCACTAATCTAGATATTTTCCCTCCAAAATTTTACTTTAAACTGGCTCATGTCCATTTGAAGGTCGTAGTAAATTGATCCCTTTTACATAAGTCTCACAAAGGTAGTACATTTTGATTTTCAGTGGTAATTCAGTCCTGATTTAGATTCTTGTTCACAGCCCAGAGATTCACCCATCTGCCACTGACAGTTGATGCATGGCACCTGCTGACATGATACACTTCAGTAATCAGTAACCTTTGTCTGTGCAGGATGCTACAGTGGATAAAACCAATAGGCTGACTGCAGTATAGCTTTTTAACAGGTTATGTATGTTTTTCATACATTGGAACTGTGCTATACTGATTATAAAATAGGACTGTGCAGTTAATCAAATGTTATATTGTCTTCATTTATTATTCCCATAATTTAGTAATTTAGTTCTGGGTGATAAAGGTGCTTTTTCTGCTCCTGAACCCGAAAGCTGAAATCAAAGTCTAATCTGTGGCTTTTAAAATATGAATCTTAAAACGAAATATGTCTCTCCCTTCTCTACATGTTTTAACTTGCATAGAGTTAATAAATAATAGTTTCAAACCATTCATGATCCTAATAAGAGAAATTTTAGCTTGTGCTCTTTAAATATGTTTATGTACAGACAAATTCAAGAGTTTGAATGTTAAAAAGTGAAAAACTAATGAAGCTCATTTCATTTATTATAAATGATGAACAGTGGTGCTTAAGGAGTTTTGAGATTATCTTGCACTGGCAGGGGGGCAGTTTTAGGGGCAAATATGTTTGGTGGCGTATGGAGCAGTGCTCATAACTGTTAAGTGGGGGAGGACTGTGCCTTGAGTCTTGGAGTAAAGTGTGGGTTTAAAGCCTAGTGGCAGACAGCCAGATCCAGAGATGGCACCAACTGTCCCTGGCATCTCCTCAGTCTGCTGAGTGCTGACTGAACACTGTCAACGTGTGTGCAAATATAACTGGTTCCGAGTTGGTCTAGGATTTAGAGCAGTAGATGAAAATTATAATAAGTTTAAAAGCATGAGTTGATGTAGTGGAAATTAGGGATGAGTAAGTTAGGAAAATCTCAAATTCAGCATTTTAAACACATCCAGGATAATTAACATTGAGGGAAGACTGAAATATGAACTGTTACACGTAAACTTCCCAGAACTTCAGAATCAAAACAGCTCTAACAGCAGTGGAGCTCTATACTGCAGTACATATATCAGCATATTATGTACATACAAAGACAGGAAGGAGACAGAATATTGTGTTACTTACAGAGGAAATTGAATACTATACATAACTGCTCCCTTTGCATTTTCGTCATTGTGACTTAATAATACTGCAATTTAGATTTGGCTATGATCAAGTGAGCCCTGTAATGCAAGGTTATGTGCCTGTATTAATATACAGTTTGTGATAGGGCTTTGCGAGTAGTTATAACTACCATTAAATATGAATATGAAAAAGTATAATATTTACTCAAGCTGATCATTGACAATTAAAAGTTGTTGAATCTTCATCTTAATTAAAATTCTATTAATTGCACAGCCTTAAATCCTAGTATTTGTTTCAACATGTAATTCACCCTGCTAGTATACATAAGTGCTAACCTCAAGTATGTAT